TTACACATTTAGGAATAATTCTTTTCTTTGATATCACCATTACTTCTGTCTTCCCATTATTCAAACTGTGGCCCATTCTTCCACCACAATGTCTATCATTTCCTGTAGTTCTTTCTGACTTGTTGCTATCGAGACTGTGTCATCGGCATAACGTAAATTGTTTATATTATGCCCACCAAACGGGAGTCGCCGTGGCAGAGCGGCTAGACGCGCGCCGCGGATCGGAAGGTCGTGGGTTCGCTTCCTGGCAGAGACGGACTTTTCTTCAAAAATGACCTTGGCTCCCAGGTCGACCCAGCCTTGAGTGGGTACCGGGTGCAATCCCGGGAAGTAGAGGCGGCCGCCGTGATGCTGACCACATCACCCATCTTGTGCCGTTGGTCTATAAAAATATAGGTCTAGCCCTATATGCCCTATACGCCTAAAGGCGTGGAAAGGGTCCTTTACTTTTATTTACTTTACTTTATGCCCACCAAACACAACTCCAGGCATATCAATTAAAGATCTCATTATATATTCATTGTATAGTAAATAGAAATTAGGTGACAGTACACATCCTTGTCGTACGCCCCTCTCTATGCTTTGAAATGTACACTGTGACTATTGGAAAGATTTGAGGAGAGAGAGACAAAGGAAAACGACACAAAAAGATTCTTGGCAGCATTCTGTCATGGCAAGGAGGGCTGTTAGCACATGAACTAAAACAGGCTGTTGCAAATCATAAACTGTGGTGGAACAATGAACAAGACGCTCGATGATGATGTTTAAAAAAAATGGCACATCAAATTTCTGGTCATCTGACGAGTGTCCTCGGACCAACTACCACAGAGAGCAGGCTTGAGAAAATATGATGAACTTGGAATGACAAGATCACAGAAAGCTAAAACTGTCCTTAACACCTATGGGAGGGGGGGGGGGGGGGGGAAATGACAAAGAGATTGATGAAATGAGCTTGTCTCACAAAGCATTGATGAGAGAGGCCAAAGGTGCTGGGCCGGATTCATTCCAAGATAGTGAAACAACTGATGAGACAGGCCTAAGGTGCTGGGCCGGATTCATTCCAAGATAGTGAAACAATTGATGAGACAGGCCAAAGGTGCTGGGCCGGATTCATTCCAAGATAGTGAAACAATTGATGAGACAGGCCAAAGGTGCTGGGCCGGATTTATTCCAAGATAGTGAAACAATTGATGAGACAGGCCAAAGGTGCTGGGCCGGATTCATTCCAAGATAGTGAAACAATTGATGAGACAGGCCAAAGGTGCTGGGCCGGATTCATTCCAAGATAGTGAAACAATTGATGAGACAGGCCAAAGGTGCTGGGCAGGATTCATTCCAAGATAGTGAAACAATTGATGAGACAGGCCAAAGGTGCTGGGCCGGATTCATTCCAAGATAGTGAAACAATTGATGAGAGAGGTCAAAGGTGCTGGGCCGGATTCATTCCAAGATAGTGAAACAATTGATGAGAGAGGCGGAAGGTTCTGGGCCGGATTCCATCCACGATACTGAAACAAACAGTGAGAGAGGCCGAAGGCCCTGGACCAGATTCCATCCACAATACTGAAACAAACAGTGAGAGAGGCCGAAGGTCCTGGGCCGGATTCCATCCACGATACTGAAACAAACAGTGAGAGAGGCCGAAGGTCCTGGGCCGGATTCCATCCACGATACTGAAACAAACAGTGAGAGAGGCCGAAGGTCCTGGGCCGGATTCCATCCACGATACTGAAACAAACAGTGAGAGAGGCCGAAGGTCCTGAACCAGATTCCATCCACGATACTGAAAAAAACAGTGAGAGAGGCCGAAAGTCCTGATTCCATGCACGATACTGAAACAACTGCTTGTACAGAATAAAACGGAGGTGCCAGGTGGTTACTTACAACTGGATATTTTCTCCAGGTATAATGCATTATTACTGCCATCATATGTGCTAATAGACTGAAATGGTTGGGGTATATTGAAAGAATATCAGATAACAGAGAAGTAAAAACTGTATAAACAAAGGAGATGAATGGTCGTAGACCACGAGGCAGACCAAGAAGACGATGGAGAGATAATGTCCAGACAGACCTGCCAACACTAGGTGTCACCAACTGGAAAGAGAAAGCCAACCAGGGAGATGAGTGGAGGCGGGTGATTTCTGCAGCAATGAACTTCAAGGGCTCAGAATGCTAAAAAAGAAGATGATGATTTTTTGGGGGAAGTGAAGAAGCGGATAGGCTGATTGGTTTTGCACCACTCGGTGGTGAATTAGTGCATCATAAACTAGATATTTTAAGGGTCCTTTGGAGCAGGTATACTAGATTACGAGAATAGGGAGTAAAACTCGGCACAGCCAAGCATGAGAAGCACACCAGACGTACACAAAGTCTTATCAACCAGCGAAGGACTGGCACTATTAACTGCGCGACACTATTGAATATGTTAAAGGAGGAATCAGAGCACCTAACTCATAACTCAGGGCAGAGACACAAATAGATCATCACAGGCTGAGGAGAATGGTGCTGTGAGGACTGTCCTGTGAATCTCGCCGATGCTCAGCACTCAAAGGTAAGACGGATATACAAACTGCTATTGATGCCATAGGAATTGGAACTCTGCACTTTCTGCTGAAGATGGGGATGGAGCGCATATGGGAATGTCCCGAGTGCTGTGATACTGATTCTCAATTCCACATTCACCACTGGCAAGGCGATGAGTTAGGACATACAGATTAAGAGAACAAGCATGATTTCAGAAACCACATTGATGTGAGCGGCCAAAGGTGGAGGTATTTCATCATCCATACTGAAACAATTGTTTATTCAGAACAGATTGGAATGGAAGACAAAAGTGAGAGCCCTTTGAGATGTATAATCCATATAAATAAAAATGTAAAGATCCATTTGTTAGTGATTATATGTTGCATGTTCTAGAGTTGGCAAACCAGACTATCTCTATATCTGTGCAGACAATGAATGTTAAATTAACCATATTGGACGTGTGCTTTCTATTTTCTTTCTTTTCCATTTAGCCAGACTGAGCCACAGCAAAGCATGGCCGGGTACAGCTAGTAGTATATAAGGAAGATAATGATGATCACTGTGTTACTGAGGCATCTAAGACAGATCATCAACGTCTGCACTAGACAAGACTCCAAGAGTTGAGAACTGATATAACATCACTCATGACATTCCTACAAGTGCTCCGTCCCCATTTTCAGCAAACTGCATACAGTTCAAATTCCAGTAGCAGTTTGATGATAAGCCCATCTTGTTTTTGCTATGAGTGCACAGTGTCAGCTAAATCCCTCTGTCCCTCAATCCCTCCTAACTGAACTATTATCTCTATACTGCAATGGTCTACTTAAACTTCTGTGTTGTTCACATGTTTAAAAAAATGGTCTTGACCACATCTAGCAATAATTCCTCCCTCAGTGACCCACTACCAGCCAGTCTGTCTGTCTGTTCCTTTCCTAACCCACCTGAAGATCCTAACGATTATGCCAGCAATGGACATGAAACAAAGAATTATGTTCACAATGTACTAGCACTAGACTCAAAAACAACAATGTAATGAGGGGAATTTCCAAATGGAGTTTCTAGTGATGTGATAAGGTTAAATATAGGTTGAGAGAGAAATGCGCGAGATTACGAATACCCGCAGAAGCACAAATTGCAGGAAGAGAGCTCAGGTGACCGCACGAGGGATTGAGAACGAGGTTGAAAGATTGGATGATGTTCCAAACTAGTGGATGATTCACAGCCAGAGTGATAGGGGGTGTTTTGTAAGAGGATGAATGTGACATTGTATAACTGAACAACGTGGAGGAGATTGAATTCTACAAAATGACCGCCAAGCCAGAATCCAGTCAAGTTGATGACTAGCCTGATGGTGGAGCTGAACAACCAGCAGCCGGAGATGCTTGTTTGACACCTGTACATGTGGCGCGATTGAGACGTGAAGATTGCCACGGTAGCGAACGTGAATGCTCGTAAACAGCGGTTAGGAACTTTGTCATTGTTACCTGCTGAATATTTGCACATGCTAGAGAGTAGCTGACGGTGACTGGACCGGATTGTCATCTGTGAGTAATAAAGATATAAACCGCGATTGTGTCCCCTCAATAACTTCATCATGTGTGTCAGCCAGAGTATAATTCCCCCAGGAAACAACCAGAACACACTGAGAGAGCAACATCGCAAATAATAACAAAAATACACACACAAAGCCAATTAACTATAAAATCATATGTATTTAAACACGAATCACAAAGCACAATACATGTCTGTGTAAATTTGGAAATATGATAAAGAAATATACTTCCTGCACACACCCCCTCAAGAACAAGAAGTTTCAACTTCTAGTGTAATGTATGTTATAAATCCACCTATTTTTAAAAGCAAATAAACACAATATGGATACAGATTCTGATTAATGTTTTTTATACATTCCTCTCTTTGGTCCATTCCTACCCATTACACACCGTCTCTCCCTTTCTTTCAGGTCAACAATCTTTCTGTTTATATTTCTCCTTTCCTTTAAACAATCTGTCGACTAGTCCGTGTTTCACCTTTCATTTCAAAAATCTATCTGTTCCTTTTTCTAAATTTCTTCTTTCATTTCAACAATCTGTCGGTCCAGATTTCTACCTTTCTCCTTTTATTTCACTCTTTCTCTTGAATTTTCTACATTTCTATTTCATTTCAACAATCTATCTGTCCACTTTTCTACGTTCATTCTTTCATTTCAACAATCTGTCCAGTTTTTGTATGTTTATCCTCTCATTTCACTCTTTCTGTCTCCTTTTCTACTTCATTTCAACAATCTGTCTGTTCATTTTCTAGTCTTTCATTTCAAGTTTTTCTGTTCAGTCTAAAATGTATTAATCCTTTCACTGATGTCTCTCTTGTCTTCATTACATTCTTTCTTTCCTAAACTCTTTACACTACACATACAATTTCACTAAACTCTACATATTCATCCCTGATGGATGGAAGCAACAGCTCTGCAGGCATCACCCTCTGTAGGAACTGAAGGCTGGGTTACTGCTTCTGGGGAAGAAAAGAGTAAATGAACTGCACACCTCACCTCGTATTTATATTGGTAGGACATAAATATGGTAAAGGTTGGGTGGCTCACTAAATATTGTGTTTATAAGCGAGTGTACTAAATATTCTACTACAACATGCTCAGAAAGGTAGACTGTGAACTACAGCAAATGATGGACGATCAACAGCATTATCAGTTTGTGTTCTGACACACCTCCAAGTGATGATGAAAGGCAGTCACAAACCTTCCTACACTGTCTTCCTCCCTCTCTTTTTTTTAAAACAGATCTATCCTGCTATCACAGCATGCTGCAAGTTTCTTTCTTCACATAATATGACCCCCCTCCCACCCCCCGCCCCCCAAAAAAAAAACAAAAAAAAAATGTAACAGATTACTTACCCGAATGTTGGTGCAGCCCCAAAACCTGAAACATGCCAAACAAAAAACCCGTTATTATAGTATGTCATTCATCATCATCAAGTGCATTGCTAATTAAAATGAATAATGATGGTTCACATTTCTCTGTAGAAATATTTATCACTGATAACTTCCTGGATATGGTGATCTCATCCAAACCTTCAAAGCTGGGTTCTATCTACACTGTCTTCAGTTCCAAGTTCTTTGATGTGTAAAAACAAACAAACTGAGCCTCATTCAACCAGCACCCCCAAGGGGGAACTATCAGGGTTCTCCTTAAAACTACGGCCACTTATTATGCACTTATTATGGCGTGATCTCCAATGATAGGCATTTACAAGTGATCTCCAGTGACAGGCATTTACAAGTGATCTCCAGTGACAGGCATTTACAAGTGATCTCCAATGATAGGCATTTACAAGTGATCTCCAGTGACAGGCATTTACAAGTGATCTCCAATGATAGGCATTTACAAGTGATCTCCAATGAAAGCCATTTACAAGTGATCTCCAGTGACAGGCATTTACAAGTGATCTCCAATGATAGGCATTTACAAGTGATCTCCAATGAAAGCCATTTACAAGTGATCTCCAATGAAAGCCATTTACATGTGATCTCCAATGATAGGCATTTACAAGGGATCTTAAATGTTGGGCATTTACAAGTGATCTCCAATGATAGGCATTTACAAGTGATCTCCAATGATAGGCATTTACAAGTGATCTCAAATGAAAGCCATTTACAAGTGATCTCCAATGATAGGCATTTACAAGTGATCTCCAATGAAAGCCATTTACAAGTCATCTCCAATGACAGCCATTTACAAGTGATCTCCAATGATGGGCATTTACAAGTGATCTCCAGTGACAGGCATTTACAAGGGATCTTAAATGTTGGGCATTTACAAGTGATCTCCAGTGACAGGCATTTACAAGGGATCTTAAATGTTGGGCATTTACAAGTGATCTCAAATGATGCCAGTCTGCCACTTGTAGGATTATGGAATCCTTCTCTATGTTTCCTCAGGTTATTCATGTTTCCTTTTCCCATCTGCCATTCATCGGACAGCTGTCCCTGCTATAGTGTCAGAGGAATTCTACAAACATGTTCAAGCCATCTCCATCTTCTTCCTCTGATAAAGTTTGCAATCGATGATGAAAATTTTTTCCTCCTCAGTTCTTCATTTGTCGCCTTGTTTGGCCAAAATATTTGCAGCACTCTCAAACATTTAGTTTTTGTGTAATTCCTGCTGTCGTTTTTCAACACTGTGTTGTACAACAGCATTCCTAAAATGTTGCTATTTTATAATCTGAGTTTTGTCTTCAAACTCCCTCTGACTTCTAGAAATTGTTAAGTATAGCTAGGTTACAGTTAGGATATTACTGTGCTATTTATAATCTTGTGCATTCACAGATGGCAGGGGTACAAACAATAACATACATTATCAGAATAAGATTTTTAAAATTTTACCTCGAAAATTAGATACAAATACTCATGGGTTGGACAGAATTGGTGTATAGTAAGTAACTCATACATAGACGCAGATTTGTGTTAAAAAGCATTCTTCTGTGCTTGCCTAGAAGGTCGATTTGTAGGTTGTGTTGTGGTTTGCAGCTGGGCTATGATATCTGCACCCTCTAGTCCAAAACATCAGATTTAAGCAAATCTTTAAATAGTGGCCCTTGAAATGCTGGCGAGCGGTGGGTCGATTCTTTCTTCAACCCCCAAAAAGATACCTCGAAACCCACACGGGGACATCCGCATTTGAGTTTAAGAAAAACACAATTAGGGATGATGCAGCAGCCTTAAAAGAGGAATAAAGAAAAGACCAAATACGCCACTTTGGAAAACATACAAACCTTGGGTCTGCCCACCGAATCCAGGACTGGAAGCTGCTTGCCCAAACACTGACCCTCCACTAGCACTACCAAACGATGGCTGAGAGGAACCAAAACCTCCTCCAAATGGAGACGACGGTGCCTGAGAGGAAGAAGCAAAGCCGCTTCCACTGCCAAAAGCGGAGGCAGTTGGTGAAGACTGAGCCAGCTGTCCAAACGTTGGAGCTGGAGCATTGGCAAAACTGTGGAAACAGAAATAAATGTTCATCTGAGAATACTGCTTTGATTTTCAACATAAGTTGTCATTCATTCACTGAATGATGGCCTTTCATTTTCTTTACTGGGGATCAGACGTATTTTACATATATACTAATTCTCTCTTGTTGTCTTGGGGAAATTCAGACATATTAAATCTGATGTAGTAGTCTTTCTTTTTCTACTCTGGGGTGCAAAATTATTTTAGAGTACCTTATAATTTGTCTTTACACTTACCTTTGTACCCAGATATTGGCACAATGAATCCACGTAGTAATTCTGCTTCTATGAGAGGGTATCTTTCTGCCTTATTTCCCCTGTGAAGTTGGGGTATCTTTCTGCCTTTTCCCCCATGTGAAGTTGGGTATCATTCTGCTTTTTTCCCCTGAGAAGTTGGGGTATCATTCTGCCTTTTGCCCTGTGATGTTGGGATATTTTTCTACCTTCTACTCAGATGCTGGGGTATCTTTGTGCCTTCTGTACCTAAAATGTTAGGCCATCTATCTGTCTTCTACTTTGAGATGTTGGGGTATCTTTCTGCCTTCTCATCAGAGATGCTAGAGTATCTGTCTTCTACTCTGAGATGTTGGGGTATCTTTCTGCCTTCTCATCAGAGATGCTAGAGTATCTGTCTTCTACTCTGAGATGTTAGGGTTTCTTTCTGCCTTCTCATCAGAGATGCTATAGTATCTGTCTTTTACTCTGAGATGTTGGGGTATCTTTCTGCCTTCTCATCAGAGATGCTATAGTATCTGTCTTCTACTCTGAGATGTTGGGGTATCTTTCTGTATTCTACACTAAACTGTTGAGGTATTTACTGCCTTTTGCATCTGAGATGCTGGGGTATCTTCCTGCCTTCTACTCTGAAATGCTGGGGTATCTTCCTGCCTTCTACTCTGAGATATTAGGATATCATTCCTCTATCTACTATGAGATGTAAGGTATTTTATGGTATAATGTGATGATTTGTTCACAATACTGAGATGTAGAAGTATTTTGTTGTTCATTTTGTCCTCTTTTAAAAGGTGCTGAGGTGTCTTACAGCTTTGTTAAGTATTTCTGTTTTTGTGCTATAAAACATAGTTTGAGCCTCTTCTACTCTCTAGTCAACAGGTGTAATCTCAACATCATTTTGTCTTGACACTGGAAACAGTCAACCTCCCCACTGTCTAACTACAACAAGCTATGGCCAACATCAGAAGCAGACAACTAACATCCTTTGGTCAGACCAACACTGTATGGGCTATAAGAAAAAAAAGTACTTACCTGCTGAATCCACCTCCTGTTGTTGGTGCTCCTGGTGGGCTGGAGAATGAAGGGGAGGCACCAAATGAAGGGCTAGCCCCAAATGAGGGGCTGGATCCAAAACCACCCAGTTTGCTACCAAAGACGCTTGATCCACCAAATGAGGGAGCAGAACCAAATGCTGGGGCAGACCCAAAACCTGGATGGAAGAAAGTCTTTCAAGTAAATAACAGACAAACCAATAGGTGATTGTTGGAACATTAGACTGGGATCTGGCTGATGCTCAAGACTCAAGGGCAAGGCGAGATGGAAATACAATCAGACAGTTACTGGTGCCATCAAAACTGTAACTCTGCGCTTGATGCTGAATATGTCCTGAGTGTTGTGATGCCAATTTTCATTCAACAATTCATTGATACATCAGGACGTGACAGAAGCCAGAGAATACTAGGCTAGAAGACTTTCCTAGCTGAGAGCTTGTTTCTGCTTCATCCACTGAGGTGTTTTATAGCATCAAGTACCTTGCTAACTGGCTAGCACATTTTTATTTTTCCACACAACAGGACACGGGAAGGAGAGAGGAAACGGGGGATACCAAGACAGTCCCTGTGTAAAACCATCATCAGGGAAGGCTCAACCCATGGGCCTAATGTACATCCAAGAGAGTCCCTGTGTAAAACCATCATCAGGGAAGGCTCAACCCATGGGCCTAATGAACATCCAAGAGAGTCCCTGTGTAAAACCATCACCAGGGAAGGCTCAACCCATGGGCCTAATGTACATCCAAGAGAGTCCCTGTGTAAAACCATCATCAGGGAAGGCTCAACCCATGGGCCTAATGAACATCCAAGAGAGTCCCTGTGTAAAACCATCACCAGGGAAGGCTCAACCCATGGGCCTAATGAACATCCAAGAGAGTCCCTGTGTAAAACCATCACCAGGGAAGGCTCAACCCATGGGCCTAATGTACATCCAAGAGAGTCCCTGTGTAAAACCATCATCAGGGAAGGCTCAACCCATGGGCCTAATGTACATCCAAGAGAGTCCCTGTGTAAAACCATCATCAGGGAAGGCTCAACCCATGGGCCTAATGTACATCCAAGAGAGTCCCTGTGTAAAACCATCATCAGGGAAGGCTCAACCCATGGGCCTAATGTACATCCAAGAGAGTCCCTGTGTAAAACCATCATCAGGGAAGGCTCAACCCATGGGCCTAATGTACATCCAAGAGAGTCCCTGTGTAAAACCATCATCAGGGAAGGCTCAACCCATGGGCCTAATGAACATCCACGACCTAAAAAAAGTGCCAATTAACGGCCAGACATAGAGAACTATGACCTCTGCCCAGCGAGCCGCCCTATGCTCAAGACTGACTAACACAACAGTGTTATACTGTGCTACAGGGAACGATCGGAATCATAGCTTATGGTGATGCGAATGACTAGCAACATCTAGACCAATTAACACCAGGGATAAACAAAACCTAGGCAATACTGAGGAGACCATGTGTTGCCCAGGCATCATGATTCATCTCCACCTGCCTTGTTTGTTCCAAAAGAAAGGTAACACCAATGTTTGGAACAAAGCATGCTGCAGAAACTGCCGTATCAGAAGAGCTGTGCTCTTCCTCCTGTCCACCTGCTGGAGCCTCCCTGCTAGACCAGCTGCCAACCAAGGCTGAAGGCCTGGGTTTGCCACATCACAACATAACATTTTTCAGGTTGCATCTCCTCTTCCTAGGATAAGGCGAGTATCCTCACCAGTATCCTCCTCTGACAGAAGCTGCTGGCACAATGTGAGATGCCAGATTTGGTATTCGCCAACCAAAGTTCAGCATTTACTTAGACCAGGCAGCACCAACTGCTGTTATACAGTAGCTGAGCCATACCAGATGTGCCAACTAAGACAATTATGTTTTTTCACAACTTGTGATCTCCAATAACATGAATCAATTTGTGGGCTGACAGCCTTTCTTGCCATGTCAAAACACTGTCAAGAATCTTCTCACATTGCTTTCCTGATTTCCCCTTCAATAAAACTGTCCAGCTGTCACATCTTCCAGTGTTTAACTTCTCACATTGCTTTCCTGATCTCCCCTTCAATAAAACTGTCCAGCTGTCAAATCTTCCAGTGTTTAACTTCTCACATTGCTTTCCTGATCTCCCCTTCAATAAAACTGTCCATCTGTCACATCTTCCAGTGTTTAACTTCTCACAATTTGGTAGAAAATTACAATGGCCCAAAATGACAACAGCCATAAAATAACTGCTTCCTGTATTAAGCTGGTTGGTATTTATAATCTACGCAAACTATTTTCATGTTCTTTACAAAAGGAGAGCTCTGATTTCTGCTCCCTACATGGTAGTATTTATAGTCTCAGATATTCTCTCCATTAGATTAGCATTCCCAGTGTCAGTTGTAGGGTCCCGTTTTTGGGAACGGGGAACCTCCTCCAGTCCCCCCCCCCCCCCCCCCTTAAAAAAGTACATCGTAAAAGGTGACAAATTTAAGAGTGTTCCTCTGAGTGCATCTGCCTGAGAGACAAGGAACCAACAGTCTGCATACAAATAAGCCAGATCTATTTAAATTGATGTACATGCAAAACTCATGTTCTGGAACACAAAACCAAAGTCCAGAAGTGGATGAACAACCAGAGCCAGAACAGCTAGAATATAAAACCAGTGATTGCTTAGAATAAATAGTACAAGAGACACAGAGAGAGATAGAGACAGAGAGAGAGAGAGAGAATTAGGAGAGAGAGAGATAATTAAGAGAGAGCGGTGTAGGTGTTGGCTGGTTCAAAAGGAAAAGAAAGAGAAGAAGAGAAAGAGTAAATTACCTCCAGAGGTCTGTTGGCTGGCAGTCACCCCAAAACCGGAGGAAGCCACACCACCGGCACCAGAAGAAAATCCACTGGTGCCAAAGGCAGCAGATGATGATGATGGTGATGGAGAGGAATGTGTAGATGCCCCACCACCACCACCAAATGTGTTGCTCCCTCCACTGCCAAACAAATCTGTAACAATGCGCAGACGACAACTGACAACTAGTTACTATCAATTAAGGCATGGAACAGAAAACAGGTCTCCATCACATAAGTGCTCGCAAACAATGGACCCCCTCTGCTTCAGAACTCACTCCAAAAACGTTTTCATTACATAAGTGTTCACAAATATGTTGTCTATTTTACTTTAATATTCAAAAGTAAGGGGCCTCTTCCACTGTAGTACTTACACACAAAAAAGGGTATTTCTTTACTTAAGTACTCCCCAAAAAAATTGCATTTAACTGAAAATCTTTATCATGAACAAGCAACCATCAGAGCAGCTGGTGAAACATCGGATTGGTTCGAGGTGCAAAAGGGAGTGAGGCAGGGTGCATTCTCTCACCATACTTATTCAATATATACGCAGAAAATATAATGAGAAATGTCAAAAATGACAGGACTTGTGACAGTTATGACCCGCTCAAAATTGGTGGCAACCCTATTCCAGAACTCCGCTACGTAGATGACACAGTTCTTTTTTTCCCGAACAGCATAAGGGGAAAAGAAAATTTAATATTGCAAAGCACCAGCAAGAAGATCAAAATTAAAATTTTGAGAGCATGCATCTTCCCTGTAGCAACATACGGATGTGAGTCGTAGACTATCTCCCAGTCCTTAAGAAAGAGAATAGGGGCTTTCGAGCTGAAATTTTATAGAAAGATTCTCACAAAATCTTGGACAAGGAAGAGGAAAAATACTAACATCCTGAAAGATCTGAACATCAAGGAAGAGTGGCTAATAAACAGAACCCTGTCTCGGAAGCTGAAATATTTTGAACATTTTAATACATGGCGGATTGGAAAAAATAATAGCAGAAGGTATATTACCAGGAAGGAGGGGCAGGAGCTGACCAACACAAAAATGGGCACAGGATATAAGTGACTCCTGGAGTGTGAAAGTACATGAGGGGGGAAGAGACCAAGTTTTCTTTCAGGCAGACCGTGGTGAGAGTGACGTTCTGCAAAGGACCTACTAAATCATGACTCACAAATAAGGAATCTCTTTCACTTCAGTACTCACAAATAAGGGATCTCTTTCACTTCAGTACTCACAAATAAGGGATCTATTTCACTTCAGTACTCACAAATAAGGGATCTCTTTTACTTCAGTACTTACAAATAAGGGATCTCTTTCACTTCAGTACTCACAAATAAGGGATCTCTTTCACTTCAGCACACACAAATAAGGGGTCTCTTTCACTTCAGTACTCACAAATAAGGGATCTCTTTCACTTCAGTACTCACAAATAAGGGATCTCTTTTGCTTCAGTACTCACAAATAAGGAGTCTCTTTCACTTCAGCACACACAAATAAGGGGTCTCTTTCACTTCAGTACTCACAAATAAGGGATCTCTTTCACTTCAGCACACACAAATAAGGGATCTCTTTTGCTTCAGTACTCACAAATAAGGGATCTCTTTTACTTCAGTACTCACAAATAAGGGATCTCTTTCACTTCAGTACTCACAAATAAGGGATCTCTTTCGCTTCAGCACACACAAATAAGGGATCTCTTTCACTTCAGTACTCACAAATAAGGGGTCTCTTTCACTTCAGTACTCACAAATAAGGGATCTCTTTCACTTCAGTACTCACAAATAAGGGATCTCTTTCACTTCAGCACACACAAATAAGGGATCTCTTTCGCTTCAGTACTCACAAATAAGGGATCTCTTTCACTTCAGTACTCACAAAAAAGGGATCTCTTTCGCTTCAGTACTCACAAATAAGGGATCTCTTTCACTTCAGTACTCACAAATAAGGGATCTCTTTCGCTTCAGTACTCACAAATAAGGGATCTCTTTCACTTCAGTACTCAGAAATAAGGGATCTCTTTCGCTTCAGTACTCACAAATAAGGGATCTCTTTTGCTTCAGTACTCACAAATAAGGGATCTCTTTTACTTCAGTAACCTGGTATTAAAAAAATAAAACACACCAACAAAACAACAACATACTTGTGGTCTGGTTTGCTGCGCTGCCAAATACTTGAGGAGATCCAAACACATTCAACTTAGCCTTTTCTTCCGATGGTTTGCCTCCGAGACCACCAAAGCCAAATAGACCTCCTCCTCCTTCTCCTGATGATGATGATGTGCTGTAGGGGTCAGAGAAGTAATTCTATTAATTACAGCAAAGGTCAAAATTAAGTCACTGAGCATTATCTATTTACTAGCAGTTTTGGCACAAGTAATTTTCATGACCCTAGACAGGCTGGGATGACTTACAGCTGTGGTTACACAGCTACCCCACAGAGCTTTTCAACAAAGATACCAGAAAAAGTTCTCACCTAGAAGGCTGCTGTCCAAATGCTGAACTCTGTCCAAACACTGTAGAGCCAGCTGCGGTGCTGGACTGCTGACCAAACCCAAAGGATGAGGGGGTTTGTCCAAACGCAGAGCCTGGGAATGAGAGTATACAAAAATGAAATAAATAACAGGTAGACAGATAAGACTGAAAGACACACAAACAGGAAGGTAGGCACAAGGACAGACAGACGGGCAGATAAAAAGACAGGAAGGTTCAAAGACAGGCAGAGAGACTGGCTGGAAAGTTGACAGATAGACAGCATGGAAGGCACACAGACAGATAGGAAAGCACACAAACCAATAGTGACTGTGATGTTGCGAATTCCCGGGGAAATCCCAGAGAGTTCCTGATTAGGGGGACAAGGTCAGAGGACCAGTGAAACAAGAGAAAAGCGAGATAAGCAGGTTTCGAGTATCCCGTGGTCAGTGAATGAGGGATACGAGGAAAGCATGGGACTGGAACGGAAGATGTGAACCCAGAGAGGGTAGAAAGGCAGTTGAAGTCTGGACCTGGATGTGTGCGGTTGTATGCGAGAGAACAACTGATGAGAATGCAGAACGTCTGACCACGTGTACTTGTTCGAAAGCAGAAATGAATGTCTTTTGACTGCAAGTTTCAACTGTGTACAAATACCAGGTACAATACGTTAGTATGATACAGATGTATGATCCGAAAGGTAATGGCCGAGAGAATCACTGTGTGAGATATTTGACAAGGTCATCAAGAATCAGCCATGCGTAGTGACCATAAGAACGCAAGGGGCGCATGGACAGTGCGATTGTTGTAACAGCGAATAAAGATCAAGAACTGAACGTTCATTGTCTGGTGTATTCTTAGCAACTGTGTGTACCTCAGAACGTCATTATAGCAATGTGACGAGTTGAATCAAACCCCTAGCAGAGCACATGGCAGTGACACACAGACAGCACACAAGACAACTGAATAGTGATCGCCTCCATAAATTAGGAATGCATAATCAAGCACAAAATTACACTTAGGAGCACATCTGTTTGAGAGGCAAGGAACCAAGTCTGTATACAACAAGCCAGACCTGTAAAACATATGTGCTTACAAAACTAAGTTCTGGAACAAGGCCACAGTCCAGATATGGACAACCAATCAGTACTTTCCCCCCAAAGTTCTGGAACAAGGCCACAGTCCAGATATGGACAACCAATCAGTACTTTCCCCCCAAAGTTCTGGAACAAGGCCACAGTCCAGATATGGACAACCAACCGGTACTTTCCCCCCAAAGTTCTGGAACAAAGCCACAGACCAGATATGGACAACCAACCAGTACTTCCCCCCAAAGTTCTGGAACAAGGCCACAGTCCAGATATGGACAACCAACCAGTACTTTCCCCCCAAAGTTCTGGAACAAAGCCACAGACCAGATATGGACAACCAACCAGTACTTCCCCCCAAAGTTCTGGAACAAGGCCACAGTCCAGATATGGACAACCAATCAGTACTTTCCCCCTAAAGTTCTGGAACAAGGTCACAGTCCAGATATGGACAACCAACCGGTACTTTTCCCCTAAAGTTCACAGCTAGTGAATGAAGAAGAAGTAATAAGAAATACAGGCTGTGAATATGATATTACATAACATACATGAGATAACTGAGACAGACAGACCTCTCTAGCATACAGGATGACTGGTGAAAAATAGATAACGGACGTACAGAAGGATAGAAGACAACCAATCCCACAAGACAAATGGCTAAACAAAGATGACAGACAGGTAGACATGATGTCTGTCCAAATAAATAACCACAGCATCATCATGTGCCACGCCATAGCCGTGTTTCACCATCTCAAATGATCACCAAAATCATGGATAAGGCCAATTTTCTATGCTCCCATCAATATGGCTAGGCCATCCCCCTTTGCCTTCCCCTGGCTCTCTTTCCACCAATCTTGCCACCCGTTACCAAATTGTAGAGTCCATTCCTTGAATCAAATACAGTATACACGAATGAGGGCCATGACACAACCACAATACCTGACTGACTTCCTGGCACGCTGGAACCGAATCCGACTGAAGTTGATGACCCCGTCCCAAACAAGCCAGTAGTTGATGAATTTGCTGCAGTATTTGTGGATCCGAACACACTCCCACCGCCAAATGCTCCAGCACCTGTAGAGTGACCAAATTCTAAGCTAACTCAAAAAACATTTTAAACCATTGAACGCAGCCCTTAACTGCCTGTATTTGCCACTTCTGCAGAGCAGAAAGGGGTATTTGAGACTGAGGATTTACGGCCACATTGCTAGTGCTGTCACCACAAAGTGTGCAGTGCCCCTCTGCCCCCCTCCCAAAAAAATTTCATGACCTTAACCCAGGGTTCGAACAGGGGTCACCTGCATGAGAGCCAGCATTCCAAACCACTCAGCCAGCCTCTCCTCACTGAACGCAGCAGTGACACATTTATATTAGCTTTGAAGTAGAAGAGCTGTCAACAACATTCAAACCCTAACCTTAACCATGAATGGATGAATATGCACCACCTCCAAATGACTGCATGTCACTATAACCACAGGGGTACCCTTTTACAACTGTGTTATATATAAATCCTATCTTGATACATGGAAGTGAATCATGGACAGCTAGTAGATTAGTAAAAACGTATCTGGAAGCTGCAGAGATGTGTTCTGAGACCAATGATGAGAATACCCTGGACAGATTTAAAAGATGTCTTAAAAAAAAGCTGACTCACGAAGAGGACTGACTGCCCACACAGAAAAGAGACAATCTACATTCTTTGGTCATGTGAGAGAAAACTGGAGTATATCGTGACAGCTGGAGAGATGGAAGGAAAGAGAGGCAGAGGGAGACCAAGAGAGAAGATGCTGGACAGTTTGACATCATGGCATGGAGGATATCATTTGTATCAGAGCTGACTGAAAGAACACGAGATAGAAGGTTGTGGATAGACATGACTACCAACGCCACACAGCATAGACTTTAAGAAGAATTTATGACCGAACTGGGTTTCTAGGATCTGCTCCTGCCTGATTCTCGTCCATGAGGTGTTAATCCTAAGGACAGAAATCCTGGAGTTAAACAATGACCAACCCACCGATGTGTGACAAATATACTTTCTATTGGGCTGTCAAATTTGGATACTTTAGCTATACTCTTCTCCTTCTTCTTAGCGTTCACCGGCTATAAACTCTGGCAAAAAGTTCTGGTTGTTTGTCCACTGCTGGACTCTGGTCTTGTTCCCAAACTTGAGTTTTTGAGTTCTGCATGGGCATCCATTTTACAAATCTGATTTATTTGTATGCAAACTGTTGATTTCTCACCTCTCAGGCAGATGCACTTTGAATTTGAAGAAAATACCACTAATTAGTCAACTTTTACAACATGCTTTGAAATGGGTGGGTGGGGGTAGGTCTTCCCCCCCCCCCCCCCCACACTCAATGTTGTAGTAGTTTAAGAAGAACAATAATGGAAAGCATGATTTCTGAACAAAGTGCAGACTGTTGGTTCCTCGCCTCTCAGGCAGATGCACTCTAACTTCAGAGGAAACACCTCTAAATAGTAGACTCTCACAACACATACTTGTTACGTGACAGTGGGTCTATTCTACTCCCCCCCCCCCCCCCCCCCCCCCCCCCCCCCCCCCCCCCCCCCCCCCCCCCCCCCAAGGAAGCACCTGAACTCACACGGGAAACTTTCTCATTAAACAACCAACATTTACTGTTCTTGAAATGTCGGCAGGGGGTACAGGTGTTCTGCAGTAACTGTCTTACCTGAGGAGGCTGTAGAACTCAGCCCTGAACCAAACCCAAAGGTGGGGGTTGTCGTCTGGGTGGTGCTGGAAAACAAAGTGGATGCCTTTGTGGTGCTGGTGTTACCAAAGAGGGATGACCCAGCACCGCTGAATGGTGATGATGCTGTTGTGGTTGTAATACCACCAAATATGGTTCCTGTTGTTGCAGCGCCTCCCCCAAACACAGAAGGTGTTGTCGTAGCACCTCCTCCAAACAAAGATGATGCTGTAGTTGTAGCAGCTGCTCCAAACACAGATGCTGCTGCTGTTGTAGCACCTCCACCAAATACAGATGGTGCTGTTGCAGAGCTTCCACCAAACAGAGATGAGGATGTAGTTGTCGAGCTTCCCCCAAATAAAGATGGTGTTGTTGTTGCAGCAGCTCCACCAAAAACAGATGATGAAGGTGTTGTTGCTGTTGCAGCACCTTCACCGAACACAGATGATGAAGGTTGTGTAGTTGTCCCTGAACTGCTCCCAGACAAGGATGATGCTGTAGTTGTGGAACTGCCCCCAAATAAGGATGTTGTTTTTGCAGGACCACCACCAAAAACAGATGAAGATGCTGTAGCTCCTGAGCTTCCAGGGATCAGCGATGAGGGTGTAGTTGTTGCTGACACTCCACCAAAGACTGATCCTGCTGTGGTTGCTGAACTTCCACCAAATAAAGATGATGATGTTGTAGGGTTTCCCCCAAACACAGAGGAAGGAGTGGTGGCTGCCAAGTTCTGACCAAATACAGAGCCAGCAGTTGCAGGACTGTTCCCAAACAATGACCCTGCTGCTGCTGTCACTGGAACTGTTGTGCTCTGACCTTCAGACTGTGAAGATGACACATCACCAAACCCTGCAGGCACAGAAACTGTCTCTGTTGCTGCTGAACTATCAAACAATGGGGTTGCTGCTATGGCTGTTCCACCTCCAGAGACTGCAGAGACCACTGGCTTCTTGGCATCAATGGAGGCTGAAGTATTATCAGCCACTGGTGTGGTGGACGTTGACGAAGACAGACTGGTAGGAGAAGCGCCAAGGTTGGAATCCTGTGAGGCCGCTGGTCCTCGAGCGCTGTCTTGTACAGAAGAGACCTGCATGAAACAAGTAGCACTGCTGTATCTTTTAGTCTCTCTCATTAACAAAACTTCTGACCTCGAGTATCTTGTCACTATCTAGTATGAAGACGTACTGTTTTCAATATGTCTTCTTCTTCTTAGCATGCACCAGCTGTAAACTCCAATGGAAAGTTCCAGTTGTTCATCCACTTCTGGATTTCTTTCTTGATCCAGAACTTGAATTTTGCAAGCACACCTGTTGTACAGATCTGGCTTACTTGTATGCAGACTGTTGGTTTATCAGTGCTTAGGGAGATGGGTCTGACTCCGGAAGATATAGTCCATGTATATACAACTATTATGTCCCTTGATATTCAGATTTAAACTTATTGGGGTCATCTGTAAATCAGACCGCAAACCCATTTGCCGGGATCATAGGGTCAATGATCTGTTTCGCAGTGCAATGCCTTTTGTCGTTGGCCTCTCCTTGCTCTCCTGTAGAAACCTAATAGTCGTTTACTGTCTAAGAGAGCTCCTGTATGTGACAAGAGCAAGTCATACCCCCCGCCACCCCTCCAGGCGCCTGGTATGAACACACATTTAACGACAATGGCTGCTTGGACTATCATTTTAGTGTCCACTGCATAAGGCAATCAATCCCAAGCAAAACCCTTGGCTCTTATAAGATGCACTGTAGGTTAGTGTGTCTATTCTTAGCATTAAGGAATCTGGCATCAATGGACAAAATGATATTACAGTACTCTTCAATATCTGGTATAATGTGATGGTAAGGTATGCCAGATAACAGCTGGATATGCCAGAATTCTATAAATACTCAGTTTCTATGCCACCCATATCCTTAAAACACCCCTGTCATACCCAAACATGCTCTTATCTATATTTTCTAACCTCATAGTGCAGCCTAGTCATTAATAAATGTTTCTGATGAACTGTACTGTATGTTAACATTTATTACAGAAAAATTAAGTCTAAAAATTAAAATACTGTTCATATTTGAAGAAATAAATTTATGTCTGTATTGACTGCGTGACAAATAAAATCACGTGAGACACGCTCGCAATGAATTGGCAAAGTAAATTATTACTTATTTCGTCAGCAAGTTAAAAAAAACAAATTGCTGGATAACTGAATTTCTACTGTATTATATACTAATTCAAACAGGAAGCTGTGGTGGTGTAGTAGCTAGACTGTCAGCTTAATAGTCTTAGGTTTAAATCTGAAATGAAACATATTTTTAAAAACTTACCTGGTTGGGGGTTAAAGGTGAGTGGCATGACGCTGGCCAGATCATCCAGCAAGTACCAACAGGTCTATACAAATATGGCGTTTAGCACTATATACCTGATACATCAGTGGCATGAAACAAGTCCTTGACTGATTTCAAGTTTAGCACTATATACTTGATACATCAGTGGCATGAAATGAGTCCTTGACTGATTTCAAGTTCAGCACTATATACCTGATACATCAGTGGCATGAAACAAGTCCTTGACTGATTTCAAGTTCAGCACTATATACCTGATACATCAGTGGCATGAAACAAGTCCTTGACTGATTTCAAGTTCAGCACTATATACCTGATACATCAGTGGCATGAAACAAGTCCTTGACTGATTTCAAGTTCAGCACTATATACCTGATACATCAGTGGCATGAAACAAGTCCTTGACTGATTTCAAGTTCAGCACTATATACCTGATACATCAGTGGCATGAAACAAGTCCTTGACTGATTTCAAGTTCAGCACTATATACCTGATACATCAGTGGCATGAGACAAGTCCTTGACTGATTTCAAGTTCAGCACTATATACCTGATACATCAGTGGCATGAGACAAGTCCTTGACTGATTTCAAGTTCAGCACTATATACCTGATACATCAGTGGCATGAAACAAGTCCTTGACTGATTTCAAGTTCAGCACTATATACCTGATACATCAGTGACATGAAACAAGTCCTTGACTGATTTCAAACATGTAGACATGTTCTGAATAAACAAAACTCACCTCAGTAGATGCTCCTCCAGTAGGACTGTCCACACCTGTGTTGTGTGTACCACTAGCTTTGACCACAGGCTTGTCAGATGCTGTGCTAGTTTGAGCAGACGATACAGTTCCAAAGACAGAAGCTGAGCTAGCTGTCGCAGCATGAGTTGTGGAGCCAAACTGAAATCCTACATAACAAGACAACACAGAAAACATCAAGCAATTTATGCTCAGTTATGTATTCTATGAGATATTTGAAATGACTGAAGTCACAATCAAGTCGTGAAAATATCAAATACAAATTTAAAAAAAACCTAAAGTAGGACAAGGCAGTTTCTGGGTGTCCCTTTTCTAGACGGCTGCACATTTAAAGACAAGCAGAAGACTAAATTTAGTTATTTCCAACTGCGACACAGTTCCTTAAATGCTGATATATCATCATTTCTGCAGTGGCCTGTTCTTGAAAAGCATAGTTAAATGTTACTAGTTCTATGTGCATCTGCACAGTATTTAGGAGGCCTGGTTGTGAATATATTACCTTTTATTGCATTTGGAGGCGTTTACTTGTAAATCCAAGTCTTTTTTTTGCCATGTTGACTCAAAATTCTCCTGTAAGCCTCATTGATAGAGGTCAAGGTATGAGTAACCCGATACATATTTGCTTTAGGTTGTGGGAAATGCATTTCATTTCATGCTCCCCTCTGTTCTTGTTTAGTGATTACTAGGGCTAGTGATTTTCACTATTCGGCCTAATACGAATAATGGGACCAACTATTCGGCCGAATACGAATACAAATAGTGTGTAGTATATAAAATATATCTTTAAAAAAAAAAACATTCGCAATGTCAAATGCGCGCTGAACTTTTACTTCACATAAAGAAGCACAGAATAGTCATCTTCTTCTTTAGCATTCTGAGCCCTTGAGGTTTACTGCTGCAGACATCATTCGTCTCCATTCATCTCTCTGGCTGGCCATATCTTCACAATTTGTGACACCAGTTGTTGGCAGGTCTGGCTGGACATTATCTCTCGATCTTCTTTTTTGTCTGCTTTGGTCTAAGCCCATTCCTCTCTCAGGTGTATACAGTTTATACTTCTCTGTCATCTGACATTCTTTTAAATATGCCCCAACCATTTTAGTCTCTTAGCTCTCATGATGCCAGTGATCAATGGCGATTTAAACAGATTCTGTGTTACATTGTTGCTTCTCACTCTCCATTCCTTGCTGTTAGCATCTTTGATGGGTCCAAAGATTTGTCGTAAGACTGTTTTCGAAAACCTGTAATAAGGCCTCATCTCTTTTATTTCTGCTTCAAGTTTCAGAGCCATATAAAACGACTGGTCTTATCAACGTTTTATATATTTTGATCTTGGTGTTGCGAGACAGACACTTTGACTTTAGCAGATGCTGAAGGGCATAGTATACTTTATTTACGGACGTATTCTAGATTGTATTTATTCTCTCAGCATGTTGGAGCAGTTGAAGTTTGCACGCAAGTACTTATATGTTTCCGTTGGTTTGATTTTCATATTATCAGCTTGGATGTGGCTGAATTTTATATTCTTTCCATGCCTAGTTAGTATTCGTACAGAATAGTAAACATTTTATGTTTTGCATCCTTCAGTCAATCTGTGGTAACTAATAGATAGGAATGAAAGAATCCTAAGTATTATAACAAGTAACTAAACTTGGAAATTGTCACTGACAGCCTAGTTAATGCAGGAAAGCTGCAATAGCTTTCAACAAAACCAATTGTTCCGCCGTGTATGCATAAGCAGGTGTTAGGTAACTACTATTCGTATTCGGCCCGACCGCAACTATTCGGCCGAATACCGAATAGTCAATAGGTCCACTGTTTGGCCCCGAAGCGAATATTCGGTACAGCCCTACTGATTACTCCGTTTATATATTTCAAAATTAAAAAATGTTGACAATAAATTAATAATTAATTAGTTACCTGAGCAAAATAGTTTTTATTGTTTTTGGTAAGAATTATTTAGGAAATTCCCATGACACATTTTTTTCTTCAATATCTGCAGGATGAAGGGGTTCTAATCAAGTGATAAATACTTTGGTCCAATGGAAAGACAATAAGATAGAAGCAGTCACACCAATAATTCAGATACAATGTCTTAATACAGCATAATTCTTACATGGAAGACAGCTAAACGATTAGGCCATCTTTAAAGTTTTCAAGAAATAAATTACGAGTTGTTTAGTATTGACAGCGTTGAACCGCTGATCAGTTTTATGTAATTTTTATGTACCTGACATTTGTGGTTGAAGGCTGATGAAGGTTTTCTAGCTGCAAAATTTATGTTGTCATTCTTGACTGACTAACCAGTATTACTTTCTGTTTTGGTAGACTGTTTAACTACAATCAGAGCACTGTAGGTGTACAAGTTCCCTGTGTAGCTTCTAGGATACCATTTTGAGTTGATGATTGTCCATTTTGAGATGAATGATGAAATTGTCTGGCTTTGAGATGATAAAGAGGAGGATGATCATGGTGGTTCAGTCTGAGATGATGATAATGATGGTCCAGTGTGAGAAGATGGTCTAGTTTGAGTTTATGACAAAAAAAAAAAAGGAACAGACCCACTACCCCTTTATCAAGCATGTCATAAAAGGACCAAAAGGCAGATATTGCAGTCTAGCTGTAAACCACAAAAAGTGTCAACCACCCTTTAAAACCATGTCGCCAGGGAATTTGTAACACACAAAAAATGGGTCAAGAACCCTGGGAATACTCCCAAAAAATGAGGGGGGGAGGGGGGAGAAGCATGCGTGCATGCATGTGTGAAATGATCAATACACATGAACAGAGTAAAGCAATAAATGGAATACCTTCCTCGAATGTTGGTTTAACAAATGATGCTTCAACAAACAGTGCTTCATTATCTTCAAAAAATGATGCTTCAACAAAGGATTCTCCAAGAATCAGTGCTTTAACAGTGTTTCAACAAATGGTGCTTCAACAAATTGTGCTTCAACAACAAAAGAAACTCAACAAATGATGCTTCAATAAACAATACACAACAAATGATGCTTCGTCAAAATGTGCTTAAAAAAATGATACTAGTTTAGCAACATCCATTCTTCACTAACCCCTGCCATTAAAGCCAATAGATGCAGGGATTTGTTTGTGTCCTCCTGTGAAACATATTCAACTTAAAAAACAGTGAACTCCAACGACTTGACCACCAGCTAGCCATCTCAGTGCAATAGAAGAATAAATGCAGGAAAAAAGATACACAAGACTGGACACCAACCTGTGGTAGCTGATAATGCAGGCGTCATGGCAAAGCCAAACTTGCTGCCCTCAGAAGGAGACTTCCCTCCAAAAACACTGGGAACTGCAGACGGAGTGCCTGTGGAGAAAAAGTAGTGCAATTAAATAAACTGAAGGTGTCTTGTTTATTGTGTGCAATGAAAAGGTATCGTTTAATACCCAACACCCGGTGTGGGTTCAGGGGGCCAATTCTAGAGGGGTGCGGGCGTCACTGCCCCTTAACAATCATGTTGTAATAAGTTACTAATGAGGAGTTCGCTGAAAATGAATGTGTTGGACTGAAAGGCACAGACGTCGAAGCCTAGCTGTTAATCACAACATAGAGTATCAACTGTATTTTACCTCTTTTGCCTTGCGAAACTGGACCATCATTATCTCAAACTGTACTATGATGGTCATTACCTTAGAATGGACCACCATTATCTCAGAATGAACCACCATTATCTCAGAATGGACCATTATTATCTCAGAATGGACCACCATTATCTCAGAATGGACCATTATTATCTCAGAATGGACCACCATTATCTCAGAATGGACCATTATTATCTCAGAATGGACCACCATTATCTCAGAATGGACCATTATTATCTCAGAATGAACCACCATTATCTCAGAATGGACCATTATTATCTCAGAATGGACCACCATTATCTCAGAATGGACCATTATTATCTCAGAATGAACCACCATTATCTCAGAATGGACCATTATTATCTCAGAATGGACCACCATTATCTCAGAATGGACCACCATTATCTCAGAATGGACCATTATTATCTCAGAATGGACCATCACTATCTCAGAATGGACCACCATTATCTCAGAATGGACCATTATTATCTCAGAATGAACTACCATTACCTCAGAATGAACAATCATTATTTCAGAATGGCCCATCATTATCTCAGAATGGACCATTATTGTCTTGAACTCAAACTGGACCAACATATCAACTCAAACTAGACCATCATCTCAGACTGGACCATCATTATCATCATCTCAGACTGGACCATCATCTCAGACTGGACCATCATTATCATCATCTCAGACTGGACCAACATCATCGAAAGAATAAGCCAACATTATCTCAGAACGGACCACCATTATCTCAGAATGGACCATCATTACCTCAGAATGGACCATCATTGTCATGAACTCAAACTAGACCATCTTCTCACACTGGACCGTCATTATCATCATCTCAGACTGGACCACCATGATCATCCTCCTCTTTATCATCTCAAAGCCAGACAATTTCATCATTCATCTCAAAATGGACAATCATCAACTCAAAACTGGACCACCATCTACTCAAATTGGACAATCTTTAATCAAACTGAACAATGATCAAACAAAACTGGACCATCACCATCTCAAAATGGACAATCATCAACTCTAATAGGTCAATCCTCAAATAGAGCCACCATTATCATCTCAAACTTGGCTACCCTTAAAATCATCATTACCTCCGAAAACAGGAGCGTCTGTTCCTGCAGCCGCCTGGACAAAGCTGAAGGCGCTGGCAGCGCTGGATACAGACGCCGCAGATGGTGAAGTTGTTGCCAGGTTGGTTGCAACAGGAGACTGCCCTGTGGTGTCTTTACGAACGCTCGCTGGGGAAGAGACAACAAACTTTAATCTGATCTCTTTTGACAGAAACAATGGCATGATGTCTGCTTAAAGTTTAACGTGTAATCCATTTAAAACAGACACAAGAACATGACGTCTGCTCAAGGTTCAACATGTAAATCTCTGCAAAACAGATACAATGGCATGATCTCTGCTTGAGGTTCTTCTTCTTCACGTTCACTGGCTGTAAACTCAGGCAGAACGTTCCGGTTGTTCATTCATATCTGGACTTTAGGCTCAATATGTGATTTTTTTAAACAGACAGGACACAATGTCTGCTAGAGGTCTATTGTGTGATGTATCTAAAACAGACAGAAGGTCAGCATTTACTGTGAGGTCTATTGTGAGATTTGTCTAAAACAGACAGCAGGTTAGCATTTACTGTGAGGTCCATTGTGTGATTTGTCTAAAACAGACAGCAGGTTAGCATTTACTGTGAGGTCCATTGTGTGATGTATCTAAAACAGACACCTGGTCAGCATTTACTGTGAGGTCTATTGTGTGATTTGTCTAAAACAGACAGCAGGTTAGCATTTACTGTGAGGTCTATTGTGTGATTTGTCTAAAACAGACAGCAGGTCAGCATTTACTGTGAGGTCTATTGTGAGATTTGTCTAAAACAGACAGCAGGTTAGCATTTACTGTGAGGTCCATTGTGTGATTTGTCTAAAACAGACAGCAGGTCAGCATTTACTGTGAGGTCTATTGTGAGATTTGTCTAAAACAAACACCTGGTTAGCATTTACTGTGAGGTCCATTGTGTGATTTGGTTAATGCAGATACAAAGTAAAGGGTGCCATGTGCAATTTATGTAAAACAAACATAGGAATACAGTGACACTGTCAAGTGTACTGTGTGATTAGTCTGAAACATAGGCATAAAGTGACACTGTAAAATGCAATGTGTAATTAGTTTAAAACATAGGCATACACTGACACTGTGAAATGCACTGTGTGATTAGTTTAAAACTGAGGCATACAGTGACACGGTAAAGTGCACTGTGTGATTAGTTCAAAACATAGGCACAGAAACACTGTGAAGTGCACTGTGTGATTAGTTTAAAAGAAAGGCATATTGTCACTGTAAAGTGCACTGTGTGATTAGTTTAAAAGAAAGGCATATTGTCACTGTAAAGTGCACTGTGTGATTAGTTTAGAACATAGGCACAGAAACACTGTGAAGTGCACTGTGTGATTAGTTCAAAACATAGGCACAGAAACACTGTGAAGTGCACTGTGTGATTAGTTTAAAAGAAAGGCATATTGTCACTGTAAAGTGCACTGTGTGATTAGTTTAAAAGAAAGGCATATTGTCACTGTAAAGTGCACTGTGTGATTAGTTTAGAACATAGGCAAAGAGTGATACGGTAACGTGTACTGTATGATTAGTTTAAAATATAGGCACACAGTGTTGCTTTGAAGTGCACTGTGCGATTAGTTTAAGACATATGCATACAGTGTCCCTGTGCAGTAGAATGTAGGATTTATTCAAAACAAACATAAGAACCTTCCATAGAGATACACTGTCAGCTGTGTAGTGTAACAAACCAAGCAATCATATGTTTACCTGACGACACTGTAGTTGTTTTTGTTTGCTCAACCACATTCTCCTTCCCCGCACCAGGCGAAACCTTCTCACTCAAGTCACTGAACCCAACAATCTTTGACGGGGTGGCCTCTGAACCGAACAGCCGGCCACCCGAGGATAGCGGCATTCCTGGTTTTTCACCAAACATGGCTGGCCCACCAAAGAGAGTACCTGGTATAAGTAAATATATCATCAATGATGATGGCAGAAGCAGAGAAAAAATTTATAATACCACAGAGAACTGGCAAGAATAGAACATTTCAGTACTGAGATTTGGCAACAACAGAACACCTGGTAACAGGCAAAATAGAAAAGCTCAAGAGTACAAGTATCAGAAAATGGTCACATTTACTGGCAACAAGAGAAAATCTGATTGATTATTGGTTAGAACCATTAGCTTTGCTGACAAAGTTTAGCAACAAAATAAAAATAACCGACAACAGAAAGGGCAACAGAAAACTCAGTGAAGTTACAGATGGCCAATTCCGGTGGGATTTTGAGGCCTCAATGGGGGGTGGAAAAAAGGAACAGGCCCACTGTCTCCCAGCAAGCATGCTGTGAAAGTCCACTAATTAGGGGTGTTTCCTTCTAAATTGGAGTGCATCTGTCAAAGATGTGAGGAACCAACAGTCTGCATACAAATAAGCAGATCTGTGAAACGGATGTGCATGTAAAACTCAAGCTCTGGAAGAAGACTAAAGTCCAGAATCAGAGAAACAGCCAGAACCTTCTTCCAGAATTTACAGCAGGTGAACCTACGAAGAAGAAACAGAAGGCAACAATTCACAAACCTCAAGGAGTATTGGCAAAAAGACACAAGTATTGACAGCAGATGTTACTAGATCGCTTCAAGAATATATCAAAAACAGGCACATGAAATTAATGTGGTGCAGCAAACAAAAAAGTTGAAATGGACAAGAGGGAGGTGGTGGAGGATATGAAAGAGGAGGCAGAACAGAGTGAGATGAGGAAGAGACGGAAGTAAAAAGTAAAGTAAAGGACCCTTTTTTCACGCCTTTAGGCGTAAAGGGCATATAGGGCTAGACCTATATTTTTATAGACCAATCGGCACAAGATGGGTGATGTGGTCAGCATCACGCCGACTGCCTTTACTTCCCGGGACTGCACCCGGTACCCACTCAAGGCTGGGTCAACCTGGGAGCCAAGGTCATTTTTGAAATAAGTCCGGCTCCGCCAGGGAGCGAACCCACGACCTTCCGATCCGCGGTGAGCGTCTAGCCGCTCGGCCACGGCGACTCCCAGCGACGGAAGAAGAAGAAGAAAAAGACTATTTTCAAAAGGTTAAGAATTGGGCACATAGACCCATCTTTCCTTCTGCCCTCACTCCATGCATACATTATTCCATTCATACATCATTTTAGTACTTAATAATTAATAAACATCATCAACAATCTCTAAATCTTAGTAACAAACACTAGAATGTGCCCAAAGTATCATCATCATCATGTGCCCTGACAATTGGTGTAGGAGCTTATGCATCTCCACAGATCACGATCCCTGGTTGCCTGGAACAGCTCTCTTGATGATATCCCTCCATGCCATCGTTTCAGCCCATCCAGCATCATCTCTCTTGGTCTGCCCCTAACCCTCTTTCCACTGATCTTTCCAGTTGTCACGATGTTCTCCAATATCTTTCTTCTTATTATGTGGCTAAAGAACAGTGTTTGTCTCTCTCTTATTGTTGTACACAGAGATCTACTTTCATTTGCTGCTTTCAAACAATCGTTGTTAGTTACTCTAGCCGTCCAAGGGATTCGTGCCCAAGGTATACCAACATTAAAAAAAAAATAATGTCACTAAGTCTAAGAAATCTAGGGGAAATCAAAATATCATTAGAAAACTAAGATTTGTTAGGGGGGATGTAGTCCACAAGAAAAGGAACAAAATACAACAAAAACTACCTGTTGAAGCAGTTTTCGCTCCAAATAAATCTTTGCTGGCTAATGTCACTGAAGCAGCCGTTAGGGCAGGCGTGGTGCTTGCTGTGGTAGCTGGTGTCTGCACTGTGGTCTTCAGTGGTGTGAATGCTGGGAGGGTCACATATAACAGTTGATTACATAAATACACAAAATAACAAAATGTACAGAGCCAACAATTCCTAATACTTTAGATCCATAGTTAAGGAGACTGAAGGAGGAAGACTGGTTATGGTATTTTTATGAAATATGTTGTACATTTCCCTCCTAGATTATGAAATATGTTCTATATCTAACAGCCTAGATTACGAAATTTTATGACACCCTCCTAGCCTATAAAATAATAATCTGTGTCTCCTAGTCTATGAAATATATTCTATATCTCCCTCCTAGCCTATGAAATATACTCTATATCCCCTAGCTTATGAAATATATTCTATATCTCCCTCCTAGCCTATAAAATATACTTTATATCCCCTAGCTTATGAAATATATTCTATATCTCCCTCCTAGCCTATGAAATATACTCTATATCCCCTAGCTTATGAAATATATTCTATATCTCCCTCCTAGCCTATAAAATATACTTTATATCCCCTAGCTTATGAAATATATTCTATATCTCCCTCCTAGCCTATGAAATATACTCTATATCTCCCTCCTAGCCTATAAAATATACTTTATATCCCCTAGCTTACGAAATATATTCTATATCTCCCTCCTAGCCTATAAAATATACTTTATATCCCCTAGCTTATGAAATATATTCTATATCTCCCTCCTAGCCTATGAAATATACTCTATATCTCCCTCCTAGCCTATAAAATATACTTTATATCCCCTAGCTTATGAAATATATTCTATATCTCCCTCCTAGCCTATGAAATATATTCTATATCTCCCTCCTAGCCTATAAAATATACTTTATATCCCCTAGCTTATGAAATATATTCTATATCTCCCTCCTAGCCTATGAAATATACTCTATATCTCCTAGCATATGAAATATATTCTATATCTCCCTCCTAGCCTTTTGAATAGAATATGTTCTGTATCTATCAACAAGAAAAGAACTTTGCCTCTCAGGCACAACTTGGAAGGAAACACCCTTAATTAGCTGACTTTCCCAACATGCCTGTTAAGGAAGCAGTGGGTTTTACCCTTCACCCCCACCCCCCCCCCCCCCCCCCCCCTTTCCCCAAATGGGACCCCACAACCAGCCAGAACAATCCTGCTGTATAACTTCTGTACTCATGACAATAAAATAACCAAGTTTTTCTAACAGTGGAGTGAGGGTGAGCACAAGATTATGCTGAATCATGCATGGCTCAGCTTACCCTGAGAGCTTGTAGTGTTGCCTTGTGAGAACTTGAACACATTCCCACTGCCAGCTGAAGCAGCTGCTGCAACACCTGAAGCACCACAGCTGGCTCCACCAGTAGTCAAGGAACCAAACGCAGGTACACCTGCCAGGTACAGAGAGATAAACTGTTCATACTGACAAAACTTACATATATTTTTTACTCCATGCTCAAACTAAAGTCTTTTAACTACAGAAAATAGAAACTGGTGTTCTACATGTAGAGGCTTGCATCACTTGATAAGGCTCAGATAAGTAGTACATCGTGGATTTTCTGTCCAGGATATTTTGCTAGGCTGGAAAATAAGCATGCTTATAGACTGTCTGCTGCTGTGCCTATGGTGGTGAGCTACTTCACGATAAGACTGGTATCAAATGGACAGAAAAAAAGACATTAAATACTTTAGCGACATTAAAAGACAACAAGCTTTTAAAAACCATACTGGGGGGGGGGGGGGGGGGGGGGGGGGGGGGGGGGGGGGGGGGGGGGGGGGGGGGGGGGGGTTTGAAGGCAAAAGATCAAGAGGTAGGCAAGGATACAAGTCGGAGGACAATATCAAGAGATGGAGAGGCAGCAGTCTGAGAAAGCTGTTTGTCCACTTCTGTACTTTGCTGCTGTTTCAGAACTGGAGTTCTGGGTGCATATCCATTTCACATACCCAGTCAAGGGTCTCTGGGGCAAAGTTGTCAAACAGTCTGCCTCGTTCACTAAATGTTTTGGGTTTGTTTCATGGCTGTGCCCTTCGGTCCATGAGTACAATTTTTAAGAGAGACCTCTGGGAATCACTGCCAGTGCCCTAAAGTTTGTGCTTTGTATGATCACGTCAACAGGCAGCTGCAGAGAGAGAGACAGAGCCATATAGGATTTACCACAGTGCAATGAAGTCAATCCTGTCTTAAACCTATTTCATATCTTTTACAGATATAGCTTATTTATATGCAGACTGCTGATGCCTGACCTCTCAGGGAGACGCACTTTGACTTTCAAGGAAATACATCTAATTAGTTGCCTTTTAGGACATTGTTGGGGGGGGGGGGGGGGGGGGGGGGGGGGGTGGTGTCTGTTCTTGCTCCCTCCGAAATGGGACAGCAGAACCCACAAAGGGAGTGTTCAGCAAGTGCCTGCGGAGAACAGAGGGAATTAAAGGGTATGATAGAATCACTAATGTAGAGCTTTGGGAGAGAACTAAACAAGTTCTAGTGGACCACCATGGGGTGAAGAAAAGATGCTGGCACTGGATAGAACGCATGCTGAGAAAACCTGTAAACAATATAACTAGAATGTCTTTGAATTGGAACCCACAGGGGAATAGAAATAAAGATTTAAAAAAAACAACACATGGAGAAGGAAGCTAGAAAATTAAGTTTAAAAGATGGGGGGGGGGGGGGGGGGAGACCAAGGAAACGTTGCATGCGATAGCAAAGGATATAACGACTTGGCGTAAGTTGGTTGAGGGCCTATGTTCAACTGAAGGTTAGAACGGCAGAAGCCGAAGAAGAAAGTGCCCCTTACTCTGCCTCAGATGTCCCAGTATCAGTATGAGCTGAGGAGCAATGAGTTACTGTTTCTGAAACAGAATGATCAACTGTCATAGTTTTACCTTTAGCTTGCAGACCAAACGCATGAGCAACCTGCGCTGCGGACGGAGCACCTGTTCTAGCCAGCTGCTGGTTAGCACCTGGACGAAAACATGGGAATCCATTTCAGCCATACATCTACTGAATATGTATCTATAACATCACTGTAATTATATGCAACATTATATCTATGTGTAGCATTTTAATGTGTATGACCATCTCCTTGTGCATCAATGCATCAGTGTTTTTCATCTACTTTTATTACTTATATCAATTATATGACTATATTTTTGTGCATCATTGTATAAGTGTTTGATTTTATCTATAAAAATATATAATCTTCTTCTTCGCATTCACCAGCTGTAAACTATGGCGGAAAAATGTCTGGTTGTTCATCCACTTTTGGACTGCAGTCTTTTCCAGAACCCGAGTGTTGCGTGTGCATCCGTTTTACAGATCTGTCTCATCTGTATGCACACTGCTGGTTCCTTGCCTCTCAGGCAGATGCACTTATGAGTTCGAAGGAATTTTCTACTGATATGAATCATATCAATTATATAATCGTATCTTTGTGCATCACTGCATCAATGTGTTTTATTTTATCTACTTATATGAATCATATCAATAACATGACTGTATCTTCGTGCATGATTGCATCAACATTTTTCATCTATTTATATGAATGACATCAATATGTATGACTGTCTCTTTCTGCATCAATGTTTCTCTTCTATTTACACGAATCATATCAAAGTATCTGACCGACTCAATGTGCATCAATGTTTTTTATCTATTTATATTATTTCAATGTATATGGCCGTATCAATGTTTTTCATCCCGTATGTTTGTTTACCGTCGGCTCTGTGGGTAAGTCGATGCAAACGCTTCGTAATGCCAGGTTCAATCTCAGCTGCGGGCCATGCGCCTTGCGTTGGTTTTGACAGTGATATCAAGAAATCCGACCGTCCAGAAAGCAATGACAAACTACTGGACGTAAATTTGCCTAGAAAAACCACACAACAGCCAGAGGCTGTTAGGTTTGGTTCTGCAACGTCCTGTAAAGGATACGCAACTAACCTTCTCACGTTTGTTCACCACGGCATAATTTTACAAGATCTAAAACTGAAGCAGAACTCCCACCACCATTTGTGAGTGTGTGCAAGTGTGTATTTCACTCACATATAGGAATACAGAGGTGCTTAAACTATAAGGGATACAGAGGTGCTTAAACTATAAGGGATAAAGAGATGCTTAAACTATACATGGGCAAGGGCTTGCACTTTCAAGACTTATCTACACCTCTTTGTGGTCATCTCAGAAACAGGTTCCCAACCAGAAACCTGGCTAAAGTAGATAATAGTATTGATGTGGCTAAAGTAGATAATAGTATTGATGTGGCTAAAGTAGATAGTAGTATTGATGTGGCTAAGGTAGATAATAGTATTGATGTGGCTAAAGTAGATAGTAGTATTGATGTGGCTAAAGTAGATAGTAGTATTGATGTGGCTAAAGTAGATAGTAGTATTGATGTGGCTAAAGTAGATAGTATTGATGCGGCTAAAGTAGATAGTTAGTATTGATGTGGCTAAAGTAGATAATAGTATAGATGTGGCCAAAGTAGATAGTGTTGATGTGGCTAAAGTAGATAGTAGTATTGATGTTTCCTTCGAAGTTGGACTGCATATGTATGATAACTACCGCAACAATAAATAGTCTGATTACAAAAAAAAAGCAGATCTGCATCTGCAAAATGGATGTGAACGGCATGCAAAACTCAAGTTCTGAAACAAGACAGTCCAGAAGTTGATGAACAACCAGAACTTTCTGAGAGAGAGACTGAAGCAGAACCAAGATGAGAGACAGAGGTAAAACAAAGAAAACAATGGCATAAAGGAGGTTGTGACAATTGGAAAGATAAGCAGGAGAGACAGAGGCAGAACAAAAACAGATGACGGTATGGAGAACACTGTGACAACTAGAGAGATGAGAGACAGAAGCAGTACAAAGAAAACAATGGCATAAAGGAGACTGTGCCAACTGGAAAGATAAGTAAGAAAGGCATAGGCCGAGCGAAACAGATGATGTCACAGAGAACACTGTGACAACCACAGAGATCAGCAACAGAGAGAGAGGCAGAGCAAAACAGATGACGGCGTGGACGACTATCAACAGAAATAATTCAGAATCCCAATAACCAAGATTGGTGGAGGGATAGGAATGCCTAAGCAACCTGGCATGGCACACAGTGATGGTGAATTTATGTAAATTACTACGTTCACTCACCTGGAGGAATTCCTTCAAACCCTGCCTCTTCTTCATCCTCCTCTTCCTCTTCATCCTCATAGCCATTATCTTCTTCCTCATAGTCATCATCCTCCTCCTCGGTTTCTGTTGGAGTTAAATTCTCGTATAACTCAGGCCTATGGGTGTAAGGCTGAGGCAAGGAGCCGGAGGTCACTGGAGCTGGAAGTGTTGGAGCTGTTAGCTGATGTGGGCCCAGTCCTTGACCCATGTTAGGCTGGAGGTAAGACGGACCACAAATACATTTGGTAATGGCTCTATATTATAATATGCATCAATGACTTGACTCTTTTGGCCCCAATACTATCATGTAGCAGGTAATTTACAGAACACTGCTCTCGTCACGGTCTGCCGGAAACAAACCCGGACTCTAGCCAGCTCTCCAGCCTCATGTACGTTCCTACCTAAGGTGTCGCTTATATCCTGTGCCCATCTCCGTGCTGGTCGGCCCCTGTCCCTCTTTCCTGGTACCAAATCTTTTGCTATTATTCCTTCCAATCTGCCATGGCGCTTGATATGGCCAAAATATTTCAGTTTTCGAGACAAGATGCTATGGTACCAATATATACATCTATAAATAAGTAAAAATTGCAGTTGGCAAATTTGACGTTTGATTTGTAATGTTACTGCTCAATCAAAATAAAACTCCTTGTGTTTTCAGCACTACTGATTACGGGAGCGAAACCTGGTCGACTGATTTATAGAATGGTTACAAAGCCAAATAGCTTTGACACACAATTCCCACAAAGAAAACATGGCATTAAGTGACAGGACAAGATCACAAACACTGAGGTATAGGAAACAGCTGGTATCACAACAGTTCTCTCAATCCTTACTCTCTGAAGGTTCAGATGGCTAGGACACACTCTGAGGATGGGAAAGGCATTAAGTGCATCCTCTATGGTGAATTACAGATCGGTCGAAGATAATGAGGTCGGCCCGATATAAAGATATATGCAAGCAGGACATGAATGATACAGGTATTAAGGTAGATCTGAGGAAACAAGATGCCATGGACTGTGTTGCATGAATGAGGGAATTCAGGATGGGAACAGGCATAAAAGGTGAAAATGGCTGTAAATAGGTAAAGAACTAAGTGTCTGAGAAGAATCACATCAAGAAAATGTCATGGCAACAATGGTTCTGAAATGTCTTGTTCCCACTGTCAAAGACTTTTCCCAATGAAAGTGGCTCTTGTTAGCCACACTCGCCACCAGGGCTAACTGCAGTTCAAGCTTCACAGCAAACGTGTCACCCCACAGCGGCTCTATTCCTGTGCCAATAAAAACCCCACACAAATGTCCTTTGTGGGGGGAAAAACTGACACAGACTACAGTCTCGGCAAAGCTAACAGCACACACATGCATTAAATGCATAAGCTACTGTCAAAAGTGCCAACACTCATTATCGTCATGGGCTTTGATTTCCTTATCCCCGCCCCTTCCCCCTAAAAACTATCATCTGCAAAGATGACAACTAATGCAGATGACTGATAGAAAACATTCAGAAAAGCTTACCATGCCTAGCTTAGCTCCTGGAGTTGAGGTTAAAGGCATATTAACAGCAGCTCCTGAGGCAGCCGGCATCAGTCCTATACCAGCTCTAGAGGCAGCAGCTAAAGGCGAGGGCATAATCCCGGCACCAAAACCCTGTTTGTTGAATGGCCCAGTCTCTGCATGAGGCTGCTTGAAATAGGCCACCCCAGACAAAGAAGTGGGAGCACTAGTGATATGCCGCTGGAGTCCGTCGATGGATGGTGGGGTCTTTGCTGGGGTACCGCCTTGGTGTATCTTGTTTGGCAGTTGGTGGATGCTTTGCTGTGTTACACCTAAAAGTAAGAAACACCAATCAGTAAAAGTAGGAGGTAAGAAATGTACAGAACATTGTTGGCTCTCTTCCCTTTTTGTCAACATGTGTGGCTGGGGCATTGTGAACCCACTTCCTAATTCCTAGGTTCGATCCTAGCAGCAGGTGATTTGGCAGCAGACCGTCTTGCAATAGTTTGGACAGTGGTTTCGAGAGCTGACCATTCAGAGGAAATTGCAATCTACTGACCAGAAAACGGACTAGTAAAATCACAAACAGCCAAACAATGCTGGGGCTGGTTCTGCAATTTCCTGTAAAGGACAGGCAACTAGCATTTTCCTTCTCTCCAGGTAATATAGCACTACTCTTTGTGTTCCAATCTGTGCTATAAGGAGGCATGTGAACCACAGCCAATGGTAACACCAATTCAGGTCAGGGGTGAAGTTCTTCCTCTTCACAGTACAAATCCTGGGCAGTATTGTAGAGACCATGTGTTGCCCGGGCAGCTTTATCCTCAGCCTGCAGTGTTAGCAACTCCAAAGGAAAAGTTAACATGGATAAATTTTGAATAAAACATGCCGTAGAAGGTACCGGATCAGAACAGCAGTACTTTGTGAATGTGAAGGAAATATGCATAAGTAAAATATAAGTGTGGGGTCAGATATGTAAAGGAATCCCATAAAATATAAGTATGTGGTCAGATATGTAAAGGAATCCTATAAAATATAAGTATGTGGTCAGATATGTAAAGGAATCCTATAAAATATAAGTATGGGGTCAGATATGTAAAGGAATCCTATAAAATATCAGCCTGGGGTCAGAAATGTAAAGGAATCCTATAAAATATCAGCGTGGGGTCAGAAATGTAAAGGAATCTCATAAAATACAAGTATGGTGTCAGATATTTAAAGGAATCCCATAAAATATAAGTATCGGGTCAGAAATGTAAAGGAATCCTATAAAATATAAGCGTGGGGTCAGAAATGTAAAGGAATCCTACAAAATATAAGCGTTGGGTCAGAAATGTAAAGAAATCCCACAAAATTTAAGTATGGGGGTCAGAAATGTGGGCCACCAGCTAGAACTCTGTGGGCAGATTTGCCTTGCGGGCCACCTTCTGAATAGCCCTGTAGTCAGTGTATGAAAGCAAATGGGATGAATGCAAGAAAGATGAAGAAATAAGAAATGTATGGACAACCACTAGTATCAACAGTTGTAAGACACAGAAGATGGCACTTCACTGAGCACATTACCAAGAGAAGTCAGCAGAGAATCAATAAACAGGCATTGAAATGGGAAATACATGGACTGAAAATAGGGACATCAAAGAGAAATCCTAGAACAAATTAGGAACACAAAGCCACAGGTGCTGAATTGGATCCCAGTCCTGTTACTGGAAAAAAACAACTTCATATGATAGAATGCAATGGAGGCAGAGACTGCAAGCCCTATGATAGAACGTGCTGATGATGATGATGTGAAACAAGTATATGAAATATAGAAAATAATAACATTGATATATCCCAAAACTAACCAGTGGGGGGCCCCAGCTGCATGCCTACAGGGGTAGACACAGCTTGATGGGGCAGCTGGTGCTTCCTCTGCTGCGGCAGACGTTGTGGTGTCTGCTGTTGCTGCTGCTGCTGCGGTGGAGTGTTGGTGGCGACTGCAGGACTCCTGCCTGGTGTCACACGAACAATCCTGGACATTGATAGGTTGGCTGTGGGAGATGAAGGTTCAACAATGAGATGGTTCAACAATGAGATGGTTCAACAATGAGATGGTTCAACAATGAGATGGTTCAACAATGAGATGGTTAAACAAAATGTTCAAGAAAACAAGAGTAGACCTGACAACAAGCATGCTGTAACAGTCGACTAATTGGGGGATTCCTTCGAAGTCGGAGTGCGTCTGCCTGAGAGGAAAGGAACTAACAATCCGCATACAATTAAGTCAGATCAGTTAAACGGATATGCATGCAATGCTCAGGTTCTGGCACAAGACTAAAATCCAAAGGTGGACAAACAACCAGAACTTTCCGGTGACTTTTACAGCCGGTGATCGCAAAGAAGACGTGTGTGTGCCAGAATTGAAAAACTCAATCTGCTCCCTATGTAGGCTCTGTAACTCCAATGGGCATCTATTCATTGATTGTTTCTCAAACGTTGGACAGCATCTGCCTGAGAGGCAGAACCAACAGTTAGCATACAAATAAAGCAGATCTATCAAACACGCTTCTCACGTGCCAGACTTAGTCAGTAGGTCAAGCAACCCTTTTGCGCCTTTGGCACACCGAGCAAATAGTATCAGATCCTGTGTGTTGTTATTTTATGTGTGTGCGGTACGCAAAACTAAGCAGTACTGGCACTTTTTTTCAGCACCAGTGTAACAGGCACCTTTAGGGGCATACCGGCACCCTTTCAAAGACATTTTCTGGTGCCTAATGGCCCCCTGGTATATAGAAAGAAAGTCCTGGTCAGACATTTATTATAAACCAATCTGTACTAGATTGTTGATGTGGTCAGCATCATGTAGCCACTTTTACTTCCCACGACATTACCTGGCATCCATTTAATGCTGGATGGACCTGGGAGCAAATGTGCCTCGACATGGCTCTGAACCCTAGACCTTAGGGCTGCTAGCCGCTATGTTACTGCGGCTCTAAATAGACTTAATTCTGTGAGTACCAGGAGCTGTTTCTTTTTTTTTTTAACAGAAGATGCTTTTATGCATAAATAATTACTACAAAAACCAATGAATCTAACAGAACACAAAGGATGATGATTTTATAAAGAATAAAACAGACAATGAAAACTGGGATGAAGAAGAAGACAGAAGATAATATGCCCAGAAAAAACATAAAACTTAAGTATACATCACCTGGTGCTGTAGACTTGACCCTGGGGACCTTCCGTTGGGACAAGATTTCTCGCAGCTTGGCCACTTTCTCTGGGGTCATACCATTAGCAAGTGATGCATTCAAGGTCACATTTGGTTTCAGTTCGGGCTTCAATGGTGTGATGACCTCTCTTTAGAATTACAAAAGGAAAAACTGCACAATTCACAAGAGACAATATTATTTAGATTAAATCAATTTCTACATTGGTGTCATGTGTGTTTAAATTGATTGAATTCATCCAACACAGTTCAGTCTCTACAAAATAGTCATTCATCCCTTGATCCAGCAATGAAGCCTACATAGTACCACATTAACCCCAGTGCTACAAGCCTACAAAGTACCACACAACAACCTCAGTGCTACAAGCCTACATAGTACCACAGATCAACCCCAGTGCTACAAGCCTACACAGTACCACAGATCAACCCCAGTGCTACAAGCCTACACAGTAACACACATCAACCCATGCTACAAACCTGCCCAGCACCACTCCCAGTGCTATAAGCCTACCTAGTACCACTCATCAGCCCATGCTACAAACCTACCCAGCACCACCCTCAGTGCTACAAGCCTACACAGTACCACATATCAGCCCATGCTACAAACCTACATAGCACCACCCTCAGTGCTACAAGCCTACACAGTACCACTTATTAGCCCATGCTACAAACCTACCCAGCACCACCCTCAGTGCTACAAGCCTACACAGTACCACCCTCAGTGCTACAAACCTACCCAGCACCACCCTCAGTGCTACAAACCTACCCAGTACCACACATCAGCCCATGCTACAAACCGACCCAGTACCACACATCAGCCCATGCTACAAACTTACAGATCTATGAAGCATCATATTAATACAGCCACCTCCCCACTCACCTGTTCAGTATGGTGGTCGAGTCAAAGTCCCTGCCTGACAACTTGTGGTACAACTTTAGATTTCTCAGCTGCTCCTCCAGCGTGTCCAACTGGTGCCGCTGACTGGATATCACAATGTGGTTGTTTCTGATGGACTTGTAGATGGTTTCACCGGCCGGGGTGTAGAACCTGGGGCAGGTTATCACAGGGTAGAGAATCACTATACATCATACCACAGAACTATAAATGATACAACATAGAAAGATTTATAAATACCACACAGAATTATAAATGATACAGCACAGAATGATTTATAATTGATAGCATAGAATGGTTTATAAATGATACAGCATATAATTATTTTAAAATGAAAGCACATACAATTATAAATGATTCAACACAGATTTATAAATGATACAATAAAAAAAGAGTTATAAAAGATACCATATAAATTGAGCTATAAATACCACAAAGAATGATTTCTAAATGATACCAAAGAATTATAAATAATACAACATAGAATCATTAATATATGATACCACAAAGAGTGAGTTACAAATGACTGAATATTTTAAAATATGATACTGCATAAAATGAGTCACAAATGATGCTACATCGTATAATTTATGATAACAGATCTAACATTTTGTGACCAAGCTGATACCAGAGACTGAATAAACACAATATATATCTAGGAACTGCCGCAAATTAACATTCAATGAACAAAACAAACAAAAAATACTTATTGACAAAACAGACAAAAGAAAAGTTGCAAGTTACAAAACTGATGTAACATTTCAATAACAATTTTATTTTTTAGTGGAAATGTGAACTCATATCTGTCTTTCCTTACACCCAAACTCCTAAAAAATCAGTAGAAAATGAAAGTCTACAGAATTTAGGATATATATATATATCTATATATCTGTCTGTATGCGTGTCCCTCTCTCTCTCTCTCTCTCAACCACGTTTACCAGATGAGACTGGTACAGAATAAAAACAGTAAATTAAGCAGCTGGGCTAAACTCTCTATCAGTGCCAAACACGGACCATCGCTACAATAATGAGCACAAAATCACAACAATAGGGTTGAGATATTTTAGAAAAGCTGCTGGAATAAGAAGAGATCCAATTAAAAATGAAGAAATTATAATAAGACTAGGACTGAGTCATACAGTTCACTAAAAAGCAATACACAAGACAGATGGTTTGGTCATGTGATAAGAATGCCCTGCAACCACAGCCAAAGGGTGTCAAGTGGGAAATATAATGGGCACAAAGCAAGAGGAAGACCTTGACAATCATGGAACAGTGGCATCAAAAACAGCCTTAACAAATTGAAGATCAACTTATACAGCACATTTGAAGGAGATAACAGAAGAACATTACATATCATCCAAGCATTCTGATGATATAACTGGATGAGGAGGAGGAGAAGGAGAAGGAGGAGAAGGAGGAGGAGGAGGAGAAAGCGGAAGAAGGAGAATCTTTCTAGTCGTATTGTGTGTTTACATTATGTCTAACATAAGTGCTATTGTTATTAACAATGGTCCTGAAATCCCAAGCTATCATTGTGGAAGACTTTTTTTTGACACGGGCGGGTCTTGCTAGTCATACTCGCCATCGCTAAGGAATGTGAGTCTCATACCTCCTCATAGCGCAATATAACACTATCGTCTGGAAAGACGGAAAGGTGCCAATGAAAAAATAAATGAACATAAGTGCCTAGAATATGCCAGACGCTACATGCCCAATTGGATGTCAGTCTGACAAACCTCTTTTCTTTTTTCTTCCTGGCCAGATGTTCCTGCCACTGGCCATCTAAGGTGTGGTCAACCTCCAGAACACTTTGTTCAATAGCCTGGGACATCTGCTGTAAGGCCTTGAGTCTCTCAGCACTTGCCGGGTCCAACACACGACCCTAAGAAGATAAGTGTGGTCAGATTTATTTACTTAAAAAAGGTACAATATTTTCCCATGTATAAGTCAAACCCTGTATTTTTTTTTTTTTTGTAATCCCAAAATTAAGAAAAAAAATATTGTCAACATATTTCGTGTATAATTTTAAACTTCAAAAATTGGGAAAAACATACAGTCTTATACATGGAAAAATACAGTGTTTAAAGGCTTAATTCAACTTAATTGTAGCAGGTTTTTATGCCATGAAGCTTAGTCTCCTGATAGAGCAACTGGTCATCTGAGGAGAGCACTGCTGAAAGCTTGACTCTTCCTATTTCCACAAGGGGTTTACAAAAACCTGCACTCGCTGTGTGGACAGTTTCAGGGCATAAAGCACACACACACAAAATTAAACCTTTTTTCCAGAGATTGGTGAATATGTTTAACACTTTCGTGATCCTAGAGTACTAGGATTTTAATTGTGACGGATGGGCCCCAAAAAATCATTCTCATGGTTTTTCAGCAGGAGTATAAGAGCCACATGAGGAGTCTCACCAGGTAATATATCCCCCCCCCCCAAAAAAAAACAGCAGTGGGGGTCACTGTAGCCAATCTACATTGAGCAGATGGATCACAATGTTTTGTCCTAGCCTCATCATCACCTAGTAGGTCTTTTACAGAACGTCTCTCACATCACGGTCAACCTGAAAGAAACTCATCACTCGTCAGCTCTACCCCCCCCCCCTTTATGCACTTTCTTACCCAAGGAGTCACTTATAGCCTGTACCCATCTTCGTGCTAGTCAACCCCTGCCCCTCCTTGCTGGTACCATGCCTTCTGCTATTAGTTGTGTTTTTTTACAAGCCGCTGTGGTGCTTGATTTGACCCACAGTATTTCAGCTTCTGAGACAAGATGCTACATTTATTAGCCAATCTTTCTTGGTGTTTAGATCTGGTAGATGTTTTTAGATTAAATCTAGTAAAGTAACAAGTGACAAATATTACCAGCAGTAATGAGTGATAGTGTGGATCCAAATCCCTCTTGAACCTGCTCTGGCATTCCTCGGACATAGCCAGTAGGTTGAAGCACACATCCTTCTGTTCTTGCACCTCTCGCAACTGATCCTAAAATCACCATCATCTTCTTAATCAATTACAATCAACGAACTGTTTCTTCACTATCGCATAATCCATAAATCATCTCATTATAAGTATAATCATAATAATTCCTATTACAACTGTAATCACTACTGCCACTGTAATCATTATAATATCTTCTACAACTGTAATAATTACAATTATATTACCACTGTAATCACATTCTCCAAAATTATCATAATACGAGGCTACCAGTGTTAAATCATCATTCAAATGACTTCTGCAATCATCACAATAATTCTGATAAAATAATTTTCTGGATTAAGCAAGACAGATAGCTTAAACTTGTGTCAAAATTAACTTTAGTACTGTCTCTCTGTGTTCCTTTCTTCCATTTGTCCTCACCCCTCTCTGGGCTGCTACCACAAGATGTCACTACCCTGAGGAGATGCACAATGTCAGCCTGGATGGCAGACCCAAAAAACAAATCCAAGACTCCCTGTTCAACATCTAAGAAGTTATTTTCTTCTTTGTGTTTACTGACTGTAAACTCAGGTGGAAATTTATGGTTATTTATAAATTTCTGAATTTTACAGATCTGGTCTATTTTGAATGCAGACTATAGCTGTTGGTTCCTCCTCTTAGGCAGATGAACTCCGACTTTGAACAAAACAATTCTAATTAGTGGACTCTTATGACATGCTTTTTAGGAGACAGTAGGTTAAAAAAAAAAATTCAACTCTACAATGGGGCCCTGGGACCCACACGGGGATCTTGATATAGCAAATTGTGTAACTTAAACTAATGTGAAACTTAATATAAGTGATGTCATGGTGGCTTAGGAAAGACAGAGTAGGAGGGTTTGTGGAAGGCGAAGATGGGTACAAGACATTGAAGATGCATTGGCAGTGAAAGCACATGGGGCTGGAGAGCTGACTAGGGAAAGGGATACTTTCAGGTGTGCTGTGAAGAGAGCGATGTTCTGTAAAGTACTTGCTGACTGATGATGATGAATGTCTGACTTTCTTCCTTCCACTTTGTTCCTGGACCTGATGTTAGGGTGTATATAAATGCCTATGTAAAATAATTATATGTATATCAACCGCATTTTTGCATTGTGTAAGTAACGGTTACAATCTCCACAAATGAAAATGTTTGAAAATGTGACTTACGACTGTTAGTTCCAGCGGAACTCTGTCCTAAGTGGAGGAGATGAAATACTACTATGAAAATTATCGCACTCGTTAATCACTGACACAATCATTTCAAACGGTGAACACTTGGTTTACCTTGGTCACTTTCTGAATCTCTTGAGTGAAATTCACCATCTTCTCCTTGTCTTGTCTCAAAGTCTGCATTTCCTCCCTTGTTCCGACAGTTTTTACCTCCCTTCTCACACGCGCTCTGAGCTCAGCAAGCTCTTTCTCAAAGTCCATAATCTAGTACAAGAATTTTAAAAACTTTAAAAAGAACACATCGGATTTTTATTAAGAGAATGGAAGTTGCCTGTTTAAAAAAAAACAATAACATTATAACATCTAGCATGAGAATGGAACATCTAGCATGAGAATGGAACATCTAGCATGAGAATGGAACATCTAGCATGAGAATGGAACATCTAGCATGAGAATGGAACATCTAGCATGAGAATGGAACATCTAGCATGAGGATGGGACATCTAGCATGAGAATGGGACATCTAACATGAGAACCGAACATCTAGCATGAGAATGGGACATCTAGCATGAGAATGGAACATCTAGCATGAGAATGGAACATCTAGCATGAGAATGGAACATCTAGCATGAGAATGGAACATCTAGCATGACAATGGGACATCTAGCATGAGAATGGGACATCTAGCATGAGAACCGAACATCTAGCATGAGAATGGAACATCCAGCATGACAATGGAACATCTAGCATGAGAATGGAACATCTAGCATGAGAATGGAACATCTAGCATGACAATGGGACATCTAGCATGAGAATGGGACATCTAGCATGAGAACCGAACATCTAGCATGAGAATGGAACATCTAGCATGACAATGGGACATCTAGCATGAGAATGGAACATCTAGCATGAGAACGGAACATCTAGCATGAGAACGGAACATCTAGCATGAGAATAGAGGTGCATGGGCGGCTTTCCAATGACTGGAGAGCAGTACAGCCAAATATGTGTGACTGATTCATAGAGCATGCTCAGAGTGGCTTGCATCGGTTGATCGGACTCATTAACAGAAGCATTTCATTTTGCCCAGAATATTCTGGTGTACAGGGTAATGACAAAGCTGATAGATTGGCTGCTGCTGTCCATCTAGGTAGTGAGCTACTTTATGTTAAAGTGGATGTGTTACAGGCTCTGGCATCAAGTGAAGAGTTCAACAGAACATCCAAATCTTGAACAAACAATTTCAACTGACAAGTAATTAAGATGCATATTCTCTGTCCCCGTTTTTTTAAAATGTTTTGGGGGGGGGGGGGGGGGGGGGCAGATCTACTACCTCATGTTGTAACAAAAAAGCAGCTACTTAAAGACTTGAGGCTGAGACTTAATGTGTTGGGCTGAAAGGCATATGTACCACAGCCTAGCTGTAAACCTCAATACAATGTGGCAGCTGCCCTTTTTGAGGGTTGAAGGAGGAGAAGAAGTTTATGCTTGTCAGTCTGAATTGTCCCGCTGACTTCCGGAGGGCACAGCCCTTGTCGAGCGGGAGGCCTAATACGGTTGTGAGGTCAAGCAGGCATGTGCAGGACGTAACAATTCCTTGGGTGAGCCCAGAACCAGAGCGCCATGTGCCGGCTCTGCAAAAAATTGAAGCCTCCTTGGATGGCGGGAAATGCCCATGATCTGCCCCTGCCTTCCCTTGAGGGCCAACCGTTCCACAGGGGGCTGCCCCAAAGGGGTACTCCGGGGGCAATACCTGCGGAGAAGGAGACAAAGTGGACACCACACAAATCAGGCAACGTCTCGACCCACACAAAACAATGGCCACAGTCACCCTAGAAATAGGCCTGACGTCTTCCCTCGAAGTCGGAGTACATCTGCCCATGAGGCACGGAACAACAAAACGGTTGTACACGCAAAACTCAGGTCCAGGTAAAAGCCAAAAGTCCAAGCGGACAATTAACCGGGACCTTCCGCCGGAATTCACAGCCGATGAACAAAGAAGAAGGAGTCTGAATTGTTCAAGTGTTTCTAGTAGAACTACAGCCCTTTATGTACAAGATATTGAGGGATTGCTAGAGAGAGAAATAACATTCAGATCCATGAATCGGATGTATGGTGCCAAAATGGGCAGGTATACAACCTAGGCTATTCTTTTTTGCTTCTTTTAAATAACCAGAAAACATGAGTTGTAAACCCTCTGGCTTGGTACTATGGATATCGCAACCTTTCGGCCTTGATTCCATGAAAGATACCGTAAATATGGGAGATATGTGGCTTTTCTGTGTGAACCCGAACCACAAGGAGTTCGTCACCTGGTCGCCACACAGTCAGGTTTAACCAACTAAGCTAGCGCGCCGGGCAAACAGCCTAGCTGTAAACAATAAGACATGCCAATTGCTGTGTTAACTCTTTCAGCCCCAGTATTTCACTACCAGATATATAACAAGGCAAAAAAAGAACAACGAGAAAAAACAGGAGTGTTTTAGTTTCAAGGATGGAACAGAAACTAAGGAGAGATGTTAAAATTAGGGCTGTACCGAATATTCGCTTCGGGGCCGAATAGTGGACCTAATAACTATTCGGCCGAATAGTTGCAGTCGGGCCGAATACGAATAATGGTTACCTTACACCCGTTTCTGGACTGGTGGAAAATGAACATATCAAGATTTCCTATCTTGGTTCATACTGTCAAGCGTTACTTTGTGCACCACCTACGAGCGTATCAAGTGAACGTCTGTTTAGCACAGCTGGAAATACCTTCAGTGAGACATGAAGCTGCTTTAACGCTGACAATATGGAACGATTGTGTGTGTGTGTTTTTTTTAAAGCTAATGCTTTTTTCTTGCTACATACATACAGTTTAAACATATGGCTGTGAGTCCTGGACAATCGGTAGGCAGGCCAAACAATTTCTAGAGGCCTCATAGATGTGGTTTTACAAAACAATGCTTAAAATACCTTGGACAACCAAGAGGTTTCAAAAGAGGCGGGAGCCCGAAGACAACTACTCACAGACATCAGAAGGAGACAGTCATCATTTTTCGACCATGTTATAAGTTGAAGAAAAATGGAACATGTGGTGACCACTGGAAAGATCTGTGGAAGGAGGGATAGAGGAAGACACCGAGAGAAGATTCTTGAAGTCTTGTTGCATGGCATGGAGGTGTGTCAGCACACGAACTAATACATGCTGCTGGAGATCGCAGATTGTGGCAAGGCATAATCGCCCGTGCCAGTCGGCAAAGCACCTGATGATGATGATTCACTATTCGTATTCAGCCAAATAGTTGGTCCAGCTATTCGTATTCGGCCGAATAGTGAAAATCCCTATTCAGTACAGCCCTAGTTAAAATGTCTATAATTTTTCTTGTGTGTATGCGGACCAGGCATACAAGACAGATGAACACAAACAGTGTGGCTGAACACACATGGACAATAACTGATCTGACACGGCATGTCCCTGGGACTGACAAAGTTATAGGTTATGGCAGAAAAATAAGACCGGCAGATAAACCTACCTCTTCCATGATGTTCTGTGTGAAGACACTATCAACAGTTGCATCGATGGACTTGGTGCTGTCAGCATGGGGTGCTGATGTACCTGTGAAACAGAATGTGTGTGAGAAGTTAAACAGGGCTTCAGTTTTAAACAAGAAGACACAAATAAAGGTAATATTATTAATTACAGAAATGGATTGTCACAATCTAAATCTGGGCCACTGAACTGTTTACTGATGTGCCAAAAATGTTGAAAATTTGTATCCTCACGGGCCACAGATCCGAGCCACAGCACAGAAAGACCATTAATACAATACAACTGGCAGGTGATCTGTGGGCCACTGTAGGCCAGATTTAGCTCCTGGGCCGCAAGTTGAATAACCCTGGTCTAAAGAATATGTTATTAGTTATGTGGCTTGTGTATGTTTGTAGATAAGATATTGCATACCTTCTATAGGATGCTGTAAACAATTATCAGCATTTGTTGGCGTTTGTGGGCCCCATTGGAAAGCAGGGAGGGGGGGGGGGGGTGCGGGGTACGCGCAGATAGAGCCCCTGCCTCTAACAAATATGTCGTAAGAGTCAATTAATGGGATGTTTCATTTAAAGTTGGAGTGTATTTGTCTGAGAGGCAAGGGACCAACAGAGTGTATACAGGTCTGTAAAATGAATATGCACACAGAACACACATTCTTAAACAAGGCTCAAGTCCAGACATGAATGAACAACCAGAACCTTCCACCAGTTTAAATCAAGAACAAGAAATGCTGATGTAGTTCTAAAATAATGCACCTGACGAGATGCAGCAAAATATGTCAGACAATGAACTGTGACTATTGTTTGCTTCTCTGATGGGTTCAGTAACATACAGGTGAGAGAAGCACTGGTTGGATACAACATACAGGTGAGAGAAGCACTGGTTGGATACAACATACAGGTGAGAGAAGCACTGGTTGGATACAACATACAGGTGAGAGAAGCACTGGTTGGATACAACATACAGGTGAGAGAAGCACTGGTTGGATACAACATACAGGTGAGAGAAGCACTGGTTGGATACAACATACAGGTGAGAGAAGCACTGGTTGGATACAACATACAGGTGAGAGAAGCACTGGTTGGATACAACATACAGGTGACAGAAGCACTGGTTGGATACAACATACAGGTGAGAGAAGCACTGGTTGGATACAACATACAGGTGAGAGAAGCACTGGTTGGATACAACATACAGGTGAGAGAAGCACTGGGTGGATACAACATACAGGTGAGAGAAGCACTGGTTGGATACAACATACAGGTGAGAGAAGCACTGGTTGGATACAACATACAGGTGACAGAAGCACTGGTTGGATACAACATACAGGTGAGAGAAGCACTGGTTGGATACAACATACAGGTGAGAGAAGCACTGGTTGGATACAACATACAGGTGAGAGAAGCACTGGGTGGATACAACATGCAGGTGAGAGAAACACTGGTTGGATACAGCATACAGGTGAGAGAAGCACTGGTTGGATACAACATACAGGTGAGAGAAGCACTGGTTGGATACAACATACAGGTGAGAGAAGCACTGGTTGGATACAACATGTTTTGGCAGCTGCTGAAGATTAAACCCAAGACACATTGTGTGAAGGTGAGTGCACTAACCCCTACAGCCCCTGGTATCAGGCCAATTACACTAAGAAGTTATGTTTGGCAGCAGCTGTATAACATAACAGAATAAAGTCATTTTCCTCTTCTTACTGTTCACCAGCTGTAGACTCCGGCAGAAAGTTCTGGTAGTTCATCCACTTCTGGACTCTGGTGGTGATCCAGAAGCTGAGTTTACCGTGCATATCTATTCAACAGCTCTGACTTATTTGTATGCAGACTGTTGGTTTCCTAGCCTCTTGGGCAGGCACTTGGACTTTGAAGCAAAAACATTAATCGCCCTCTACAACAATCTTGGGGGTGGGAGGGGGGGGGAGGGAAGGAGAGGGTCTGTGCTTGGTGTTCTCTTCTTCTTCTTCTTCAGCGATCTCTGGTCATGCGCATAATCCACTGTGGGTCATAAACTGGGATGTCTTTTCAAGGTCTCTTAGGTTTCCCCAAAGCTTAGTTGTCAGGTCTACTGGGTGTTGCCATATGTTGCTCCGCAGCTCCGCCAGGAGAGGACAGTCTTGCAGGACATGTTCTGGAGTCTGTTCAGCACGAAGACACTGGCAGAGAGCTGTTTGGCTCATACCTAATTTATGTGAGTGTTTATTGAGTCTGCAGTGTCCAGTGCGTAAGCGAAAAACTGTGACTTGGTCTGTTCTGTTCAAGTGCCTCAGAAAATCTTTTCCGTAGTCATAACCAGTGTTGTTTTTCCAGTCTGTTTCTGATTTTCTCTTAATGAGAGTTTTGACTTCTGGAAAAGATAGTGGCTGGTAGGTCTGTAGTTTGTTACTGCCTTCCTTGGCTAAAGCATCTTGCGCTTTCATTGCCTTTGATGCCACAGTGAGACGGAATCCACTGCAAGTGAATTTCTGCCTTATTTGACAACATAGCAAGTTCCTGTGTTAGACTTTGTAGTGTGCTGTCGGTAGGTTTGGACTCAAGGGCCTGTATAGCTGACAGTGAGTCAGTGAGAAAAACTATCCTGCCTGCGGTGATTTGCAGATTGTTCATATGCTGTTCTTGGTGTTTTCAAATAGGAAGCCTCAGAACCCATATACCAGGAATAGGAGGATATGAATGCAGATACATACCCAAAGCTGGTGTCACCGATGGTTGTGGTGGCTGGTGTTGCACCTGTGGCCTGACCTGCGCTGGAAGTAAGGACTGGGCTGCTGCAACAATTAAAAAAAATACAGTTAAAAGTCGCTGTCACATGGCAGTCTGGCAAGTTTAGTTTTCTCTTTCCGCTTCTAACCTGAGGAGTTGAGCTCCCACAGGGTCTTGTTTCACCTCTTATCTTCTACACAACAATGTGAAAATTTTATACTCTTGTTTAGTTTTTTTTCTTATTCTTTCATGAGGTGTTGATGTACCTTTCGGTCTTTTTTAACCTTTCAACTTTAACCCACAGGTGCTGACATACCTTCTAGTCTTATTTTACCTTTCCTCTTCTACCCTGTGGGACAGACAGAACTACACAAATTACATTTCTAAGAGCCTGCATTTTTCCCATTGCAACATACTTCAAGAACTGAATAATGAAGAAGGTTGGCTATTAAAGACGATAAAACATAGAAAAACTGAAATATTTTGGTCACTTGAAACGTCATGAAAGATGAGAGAGAACAATAATGGAGGGGTATATGGCTGGGAAGAAAAGAAGACGAAGGTCAAAGAGAAGATGGGCTCAGGATGTGGAGGATAATCTCTAGATGGGTTTATCGGGCGCTGGTCATCTTGCTTGCGATCGAGAAGTTTTCCGGAAGGTTGTTTAAGGAGCAAGGTTCTGCGAAGGACATACAGACTTCTACTCTGAGTTACCTCCTAGGTTATTTTGCCTTTTGAGGGGGGGGGGGGGGGGGTGGGGGTGGGGGGGGGGGGGGGGGGGGGGGGGGGGGGGGGGGGGGGGGGGGGGGGGGGGGGGGGGGGGGGGGGGGGGGGGGGGGGGGGGAGACTTAGTTACATTTGGCAAGACTGCACCAATAGCAGAAAACTAATAATAAGAAAAATGAAAAACAGAGCATTTAAGCAAAACAATTTAAATTAAAAAAAAAAATATGAAGAGTACCTACCAGGGCTAGGCCCCTTGACAGAGTGACCAAGGATCAAACCATTCCCTTGTGATGCAGCAAACTGTGCAGTCTGGTCTGGACTTGCCATCGTAGGTTTGACAGGAAAGGCGGCCGGCCCTGCTGGCCGCAGCTGACCTGCTCCAGGTGTCGCAGATGACAATGCTCCCAGAGGGCTCGATCTGGGACCTGTCGGATATAAGGTGGAAATGTTAAAAATCGACATCACAATACTTGAGGCACTACCACAAGTGCTTCATCCTCATCTACAGCAGCCAGTGAATAGTTCCAATGCTGATGGTACCAGTAGTAGGTTGATTGTATATCCTTCTTGTGTTTTCTCTGAGTGCAGTGTCTGCCAGATTTCTTGTTGCTTCGCACTGCACCATTCTCTCCATCTGTAATGATTAATTTGGACTTTCACACCGTTCACTGGCTCTCAAAAGACCTTAACCACGTCTAGCTAGTCATGCACAAATTAACCACTCTGTGATGCAGCACCAGCCAATCTGTCAGCTTATTCATTTCTCAACACACCTGCATTTCCCAAAGAAAAGACAGTGGAATTATCAGTGAGGAACTAAAGCCACAGACACAGGAATTCTGGTCTAGTCAGCTACAATATAATTAGGTACTTAGAAAGTGATCCAGTACTGAACCTTAAATGCTGAAAATAAAATTAGGCAAATTCAAAAAAAAAAAATTTTTTATTTTGAACTTTGCAACAGCAGTCTTTCTATTTATATCTGTGTTTATCCAGTCTTTCAATCCATACCTGTGTTAATCATTTATCATGTTCCATATCCAATTAATAAGGTTTCCTCATTCAACTGCACTTACGGAGACATTTAGCATGTTACTGTCAAAATTAGAGCTTTGTTTAAGAAGCTTCCACTATGCTGTTACCTCTTATTTCACTAAAACTGATAGATTATTATTGATTTTGTTGAATGTTGAATGTTGAATTGAGATCACAGGAACAAGCAAAGAGCTGAAATTCTGATGGTATCAGTAACTGCCTAATTGTATATCCATCTCGCCTTTCCCTTGAGTGTCGAGTTTCACCCAGATCACCTTGTAACTCCTAGCAGTGCCATTCTCCTCAGATCCTAATGATCTATCTGTGCCTTGGCACTGTTCACTTGCTTCCAAAGGACCCTCACAACATCCAACTTGTCATACATCAGTTCACCACCAAGTGGTGCAGAACCGGCCAGTCTATCTGCCTGCTCATTTCCAAAAAACAACCGCATACCCTGGAGAAAATATCCAAAGGATGCTAACTATCCGGGAACTCTGAAGTGATGATTGCCACTCTGATTACTGATTTGGTGAAAACATAAAAGAGAAATGTCTTATTTTAGCAATCAATGTCCATCTAAAATGTTTCTTCTTCAGCCCACTTATCCTTAAATGGGGCATAGGCTCATCCGATAAGTGTAACACAGAGACCCATCCAATAAGTGTAACACAGAGACCCATCCAATAAGTGTAACACAGAGACCCATCCAATAAGTGTAACACAGAGACCCATCCAATAAGTGTAACACAGAGACCCATCCAATAAGTGTAACACAGAGGCCCATCCAATAAGTGTAACACGGAGGCCCATCCAATAAGTGTAACATGGAGGCCCATCCAATAAGTGTAACACAGAGGCCCATCCAATAAGTGTAACACAGAGGCCCATCCAATAAGTGTAACACAGAGGCCCATCCAATAAGTGTAACACAGAGGCCCATCCAATAAGTGTAACACAGAGGCCCATCCAATAAGTGTAACACAGAGGCCCATCCAATAAGTGTAACATAGAGGCCCATCCAATAAGTGTAACACAGAGGCCCATCCAATAAGTGTAACACAGAGGCCCATCCAATAAGTGTAACACAGAGGCCCATCCAATAAGTGTAACACAGAGGCCCATCCAATAAGTGTAACACAGAGGCCTATCCAATAAGTGTAACACAGAGGCCCATCCAATAAGTGTAACACAGAGGCCCATCAAATAAATGTAAAAGAAAGGCTCATCCAATTAATGGAAACACAAAGCATCATATGGCCCTGTTCAACAGCATACATTTACACTTATCTTGGACAGCAGTGAATACATCTCAGATTTACCTTCATCTCTGGTGGACAGAGGAGCTTGGGTTTGGCCGAAGAGATTAGGAGCTGGAGCTGAAGCGGCTGCCGAGGAGAACACGGTGTGTGTCTGGCCGTAAGCAGGTGGAGCTGATCCAAACCCCGGTGAGGACTGGTTCTAAAATGAAAACAAATTAATTACTGACCAGCACAGACGTAACTTGGACTGAGAGTTGTACTGGGGATACCCACAAGTGGGTATACAAAACACTCAATCAGGTCAGTAGTCAGCTAGAAGTAAAGGTCCCTTTTCCACACCTTTAGGCGTATAGGGCATGACCTATATTTTTATAGACCAATCGGCACAAGATGGGTGAGGTAATCAGCACTATGCCAGCCACCTTTACTTCCCAGGACTGCACCCTGTATCCACTCAAGGCTGGGAGTCAAGATTATTTTTTTTAAAGCTGGCTATGCCAGGAAGCAAACCCATGACTTATCGATCCGCACGCGAGCGTCTAGCCACTATGCCACGGCGACCCCCAGTAGTCAGCTTTGAAGAAAGTTAAAAACAAAACAAAAACAGTAAGGAAAGTGTATGGTGTGTAAGAAAAAGAAAGTAAAAAATGAAATAAGAGAAGTCCAAAACTAAGTGAGGAAAGTCTTACTGTAAGCGAAAAAAATTAAGTGATGAAAGTCAAATAGCAAGAAGGACTGAAACAGTCAAAATCAGAATAGTCAATGGTGAAATGAAGAAAGACACTGGTTCAAGTATGCAAACTAAATGTGTCGACATTTTACTTTCTACAACTTTTTTACTGGATATTCTAGAGAGAGAGCGAAGATGAAGCGGGACTAGTTGAACAGAATACATAAAGATGTTGAGCATATAAAAATGACAATGTGCATAATGAGGTACTGACCTGGACAAATGGTTTCGGTGGACCTAGCTGGGCTGTGGGGGCAGCAAGTGATCCTGAACCAGCAAATGGAAAGCTTGGAGTGCCTGTAAAATATAAGAAATGATTTTTAAAAAAACCATAGTTCATTAATTTACACAAAACACATGCAGATTATGATTAAAATATGAGAACACAAGGTTGCTACTATACTGTCTATGCTGTATGCTATCGAGGGGGAAAATGTGAAATGGAAATGATGGTAACATCATTCCTGAAATCTCATGGAATTAAGCTTACTAACGGACAAAAAAGGGGGGGGGGGGGTGTGTGGGGGGGGGGGGGACCAGGAGTAAGGGTGAAAGGAAGAATGGAGAATGATCGTTGATGGAAGGAAAAAGAGGGCAGAGGGAGACAGAAGACTCTAGTACTTGTCCTGACTGACCAGATTTTGCCAGAAGGAAATTGTTTTCTTCTTCTTCACATTCACTGGCTGCTAACTTCTGCAGAAAGTTTTGGTTGTTCATCCACTTAGGGAGTTAGGATTTGTTCCAGAACCTAAATTCTGTGTGGACATCTACTCTACAGATCTGGCAGGCTGTTGGTTCCTTGCCCCTCAGGCAGATGCACACCAGCTTCAAAGGAAACCCTAACTAGTTGATTCCTACAGCATACTTGTTAAGGTGCGGTGGGTCTTTACCCTATTCCCCCCAACCCCACAATGGAACCCTGGAAACCATAAGGGGAACCAATTTGCCCTAGGGGTGTCCCTTCAATATTAACTAAAAGAAAACTAAAAACACCAGGCACACGGTTCTGTTTGAAACCCCACGGAAAGAAAGGATGCATTGTAAATGATCACTGAAGAAAATCTAGGAAAAGAAAGATAATGAAAGCTGGACAGAGGAAGAGAAAGAAAGAAAGAAAGAAAGAGAGAGAGTGAGAGAAAGAGAGAGAGTTTTCAAAGGGATTAAGAAGTAGACACACAGACTTAACATTCTGCAGGTCAATCAAACTGAGGAAAAAGTCATGTCACCCATCAGAACACGCACACACACACACAAATAACAACAGGAACAGCACAAATAAGCCTCACTTGTTACTGTTGAAAATGAGAACCCTGCAGTCCCTCCAGACTGACCCCCAAAGGGAAATGGCAAACTCCCAGTCTGCGATGATACTGCTGTGACACTATCAGCCATCTGCCTCTGGCTAGATGCTCCACTAGTAGCTGCACTTTGAGCTGACCCACCTCCGCCAAATGGAAATACAGGTGTGGTGGTGGTAGAAGATGGTGTGGTAAAACCAGCAAAAGGAAACCGGGGTGTTGATGCTGATGATGCAGCTGGGAACTGGAAGGAAGCTGCTGGTGTTGATACTGCAGGCGGTGCAGAAATCTTGACTGTTGCTGCTGCTGCAGGCGTATTTGATAGCGATGATGCTGGAGCCATGATGGTTGCTGCTGGTGGTGGAAATGATGGAGGTGTCATGGGGGAAGCTGCTGGGGCTGTAGTTGCTGTTGGTTGTGGAGTGGGTAGTAATCCGGCCTTGGCACTTGATGAGATGAGACTTGCAAGGTCGAGACCTGACATTACAAGGATACATAACTAAGAACTTTGGGGTAAGGAGTTATGGTGGGTGTGAGGAATACATCCGCAACAAGGCAGATTAAGCCTCTTCCAAAACAATGGTTGACATGCATCAGTCCATATTTAACTTCTTACAAACCAACTCTGTGTGTGTGTGTGTGTCTGTGTTTTCCAGGATATCTGGGGGGAGGAGGGGGGACAGACCCACTGCTCCTTAACAAGCATGTCATAAAAGTCAGGAATCAGCCAAAAGGTACAACTATCACAGACTAGCTGTAAACTGCAAAACAATTTGCCAAACGCCCTTTTAAGGGCCAAAACAGAATAGAGCAATGGCTAATGTGCATCAGTGCATTCTTCTTTTGGAACAATGGCTGTTGTGAACAGGAAAAAAATGTATTAAAAAAATGTGTGTTTGCCAAAATAATATGTCGAAGAATGAGTAAAAAAAAAATTGTTTTCCTAACTGGCCATGACTTACAGGCATACAACAGGACAGACTTCATACATAAATCACACTGTTGCTGCTATCGGATGTTTCTCAAATAGCCAGCATTTTGTCAAATTTTATCTGCCTATATATATATTTCATTGTAGGCTCTGTGTAGAAATCACATTTCTGGTGCCAAAAGACATTTCTCTGCCTTAGTTCTGCTATTTCCCATCATCATCAAGTGCCTTGCCGAATGGCGTGGGCCATCATGCCTCTCCACAATCTGTGATCCACAACTGCATGTATCACCCCTCCATGACACAACAAAAGACTGTCAAAAATTTTCTCATGCTGTCTTTCTCTGTCTCTCTTTCCACAGATCTTTCTAGTGGTCACAACATAGTTCCATTTTTCCTCTTCTCACATGACCAAGACATCCTTCTGATGTTTGTGATAAGTTGTCTTCGAGCCCTCGCCTCCTTCAAAACATCTGGGTTGCTCTCTTCAGCTGTCCAAGAAATTCTAAGGATTCTTCTGTAAAATCACATTTCCTCAGCCTCAGATATTGTTCAGCTTGTTTACTAATTGTCCTGACTTCACAGTCATATGTTAAAACTGGCTCTATATAGCATGCAAGAATTGTTTTCCTAACCTTTAATCTACCATACACATATCAATATGGGCTCTGTAAACAAACCCAATTTCTGCTGCCAAAAGATATTTTTATGTCTGTCTGCTTGTCAAATCTCCCATACATCCATACATCCATACATGCACACTTACATACATGTCCATATACACATACACACATATATCAAAAGGATCTTGTAAACACATTTCTGATGCACACACACACACACATACAAAAAATTGTCACTGTCTGCTTGTCAAATTTCCCACACATACATATATGCATGCATATACACATACATATAGATAAATACATACATACAGATATATAAACATACAAATGAATATCTATAAAAACATGAGAAAATACGCTTTAAAAAAAATAGAAACCACATTTCTGGCCAAGTTTTTGCCCAATTCCACATGAATACATTCCCTAAACAGTCAACAAGATGATCCTCCCAACAACTTACGTCCCCTCCTGGCCCCATCAGCCACCAGTGGCAGAGCTGGCGTTGTGGCTGGAGCAGCCTCCTTGTGGAAGTAAAACAAGTGGTACGCCACCAGCATTCCATCGGTGGACAGCAGGTACATGACTGGGCACGGTGGCAGGGTCTTACTCTCACCTGGTGGAACAAGGACAGGTCACTTACAAGTGCAAATTTATAATTAAATAACAAAATGAACAGAATAATAAAATGGAATAATTGATACTAACTACATTGCTAATAATATATTAGAGAATAGTTTTAAAATGACAATAATTACTGCACTAAAGTCAATGAAACCAACAGCACGATAATTTATACCGTAAAAACATTAAATACTTAAAAAAATTACCACATTTTACACAGACATACATACAAAAGCGAACTTAATAAAAGCTTATACAATAACTTTAGTCTTGATTGCTGCTCAGTAACGATTCCACATTGTACCAGTTCATTCTATAATGGGAAAAAGTAAAGGGCCCTCTGCATGCTGTTGAAACAGCGGCCATATTACTCTAGCCCTGTGTTTTTAGAAATCCCTGGGTTTTTTTTCCTTCAGAAATCACATTGGGCATCTTTGCCTCCCAATGCACTTCCTAGCATTCACTTTAGGTTGGGTCAACCTAGGAGCCAAGGTCAATTTTAAAATTAACAGGTGATGTGGTCAAAATCACACTGGACATCTTTACCGCCCAGTGCATTTCCCAGCACCGATTCAGTGCTGATTTGTAGAATGTTATTTGTTGTAAATGAGAGGCCAGTGACACTACCAAACAACTTTGTGAGGATGCCACTTTGTGCAAGCTACTGCTTAGCTGCAATGAAGCTTCTGAAGTCTGGTAGACAATGGCTGGGCATTTGGCTGTCCACGTGTTCACAAAAATAACAGAAACCATGTCTGTTAAGTCCACCTTATTTTGTTGTTAACAGTTTTAGTCTAAATAATAACAACCAGAAACACACAAACACTAGCAAATGAAAACAAATGTACAGAAGCAACTAACTTATAAGCACATTCTTGTCTGGGGAATAGTCAACAGCGAGGCCCATGGGGAATGAGTCCGACTGCTGTGATGTGAGAGGGAGATCAGCTCTAGAGCAATCCTCCAGGTTCCAATGCTCCCAGCTGACCTGCGGATGACAAGAAGGATTAGACTGTAACTTTTCTCCCCTTATTTTTGCAGACAGATACATTTTTTTAAAACTTCATTAATGACCTGTCTAATAATAGTTTAGTGTGTGTTGTAAAGGAAGAGAAATCTGGCCTCAAGAGCAAAGTGTGCAGAGCAAGCTATGGGGAACCATGCAGGACCTGCAGCTGACATGAGTTTAAAGAGGCAACACACCTGGTGGTTTGATCTGAGCATACGAAACTGAATGAACGCAAAGAAGAAGAAAGTTTTTCTTGAAACGTCTATGGGTTCATGACCCATGTTTGTGTTTTACCATTCATGGGGAGAAAGAGTTAAGGTCGCATGACTAGTGAAGTTGACACAAACTTTACAGATTAGGGTTTTAAATTTTGCCACAGAGAAACACAAATATTTAACCCTTACTGAGGATCAAACTCAGTATCCCAAATAAGTGCCTACTGCTCTAACCATGTTGGTAAATGTTGCTAATTTAATAATTCCATAGACCAACCAGCACATGATATGTGATAGGGTTAAGATCACACCAGCTGCCTTTACTTTCAAGAACATTTCCTCTACCCAATTGAAGTTTGACAGACCTGGAAAACCAGGTCAGCTCTGTCTCAATATTTGCCTCAATAGGGATTTGAACACATGACAACCAGCAAATGTATTCTGCATGTTAGACGAGTACAACTCTCACCTTGTCATCCAGATTTCTGCCTACAATTGTTGTTTCTGTTGCATTGCTTGAAGCCACCAAGATGACATCCCTGGAAATAAATAAACCATTCCTATTATGTACATAGGGGAGCAAGAAGCAAAGGATCCTTCACAAAACTTCCCTTCCATTTTTGATTCTGTGATTACAGCAGGCAAACTTCAAAGACTCTCGCCCGCTTAAAAAAAATATTTCAGAGTGATTCAAGGGTCCAGATTTTTACAAATTTACTTCTTGCTTATGACTAATTCATAACAGATTAGGGATCTGATCTCCACATTACAGAAGAGGTAGAACTCTCTCTCTCTCTCTATTGTTTTTCTATGATTAATGTGTAAGGCGTCATAATGATTGGTTTTCAGGATAGTGCACGTTTATGAGCTTACTGCATGATGATGATGTTGAGTTTTAGCAAGTTGTTAACTCCATCTAATTATCATCTTCTGCCTCTTGATGTTTCCATTCTCATGTTGTATGCTCTTGCAACCAGTAAGGCTCCTAGGTCGACCCAGGAGGAGTCCTGGGAAGTAGAGGTGGCTGGCCACATAGCCCACTGGTCTTTAAAATGGAGATCTAGCCCTATATGCCCAATATTCCTGAAGGCACGAAAAAGGTCTTGTACTTGTAATAATATTCTAAGAGTCAAACGTGTGACAAGCTTCTCCGTTTTTTAACTGAAGACTATATGTGTGTTCTTGTGAAGCAGTAGGTAAGAGACACTTTTCCACGCCTTCAGGTGTACCGGGCATATAGGGCTAGACCTAAATTATATACACTAATCAGAATTTGGTGGGTGATGTGATCATAGTTTTGTCGGTTGCCTTTACTTCTCAGGACTTTACCCAGTACCCATTTAAGGCTGGGTTGACCTGGAAGCAGAGGTTATTATTATTAGAACTGAACCCATGATGTTTAGATCCGCAGGCAAGCGTTTAGCCACTACACCACAGTGGCTCCCTGTAAACCAGCATTTTATTTACCTTTATTAAACATTTCTAATTTAAACAAAGAAAACACAAACAAGTTTGCACAATTTATTGCCTGCCAGATTTCGCTGCATCTCATCAGTTGCACAATCTATTGTTTGTGTCTTATATGTTCAAATTTACAAATGGGAAACATTGCTTTGAATTTAATATAAAAATTTATTTTCGTACCATTTTTGAATGAAATGAAAGAAATACTGTGCTTTTCTCTCCTCGCCGTTACCAAAACACACATCCTCAAAGTTGATGTAGGTAATCTTGTCTTTCTGAAATATGAAAAGAATAGGAATAAACTCACAGAGAGCAAGTACAGCAGGGATCTACCAGTCGTCAGTAGAAATTATCCTCGTCAACGAGCGTTTCGGCCCACTATTCCTGGACGCTTTCGGAGGTGGGCCCACCTGAGTTCAAGAAGCTCAAGGCTGGTTCCCTGCTGCGCGAGATTACCGGATGGTGTTTTTCTTTCGGATAGGGACAAGACGACTTGGTGGTTTGCAGAAGGTACTGTGAGATAAGAAGTCGTTGCGGCAGCCTAATTAGAACAGTCAGCGAGCCTGGACGACCGAGCGACAAGCTTACGATTGGTTTACCGGACACATGTTGGACTTTATTAGCAGGTGGCAGAGGATCACTGGCAGACAATTCGGACACGATGGACTTTCAAAGGGTGAGAAACCCTTTTCCACTAGACACCCGGACCAGCTCACCGAGGCCCGTCCCCTACGTTGTTGCGTTGCGTCCAAAGCCAGCTAGAGGCCCTTTCGGCTACCTCTCACAGTTTTTTGAGTGTTCGTTTCCGTTCATTACCGCGCAATCCTAGTTCTTTAACCACATTGTAGAGCGAAGTGGAAACGAGGCCTCTCGCTCCCACTTCGACGGCAAAGACCCGTACCATGTAGGCCTTGTTTCTCCTCAGACCGGCTGCTAAATCACTGTATTTCTCGAGCTTATACAGGTGATTTTCATCCATATGCGACAAATACGGGACGGTGAGCTCTATCAGGATGAGCTGCCGTTTCTCCGCAGAGTGGAGGACTATGTCAGGTCGCAGGCCGGTCTTCCGGATTAACTCGGGGTACCGTTTATGGCCTGGCAGATCAACCGCCAGTAACCAGTCCCTCGCAGAGTCTAGCACAGATGGAGCGAAAGCGTTTCGGTTGACCTTACCTTTTTGAACCTGCCCAGCCTTGAGGAAACGAATGGGGACGATGCTAGAACTGGCCCTAGCGTTGGCCCTCATTCTAGCCTGGTCAACAAAGGCTGCTAACTCTTTTAGCACCTTGTTGTGACGCCAGGTGTATCGGCCTTGACCTAGGGCTTTCCTGCGCGCGGACAGGACGTGCTCAAGAGTTTGCTTCGCTTTGCACAACGGGCAAGTCGGATCGTTAGTCGCAGACCATTTAACCACACTAACACCGGACGGTAATACATCGTGCGCCGAACGAACGATAAAGCTCAGCCGCAGCGGGGTCATTCGCCAGATCTCACCCCATGTGAGTACTCTTGGCAATGCGCTCTCCAGGCTGACCCAATGGCCCTGCTGCGCCTGCTGGGCTGCTTTCTGGACCCGAACCTCGTTTTCGTTGTCCCTCACCGAAATAATCCTGTCAACAAACTATAACCGCACAAGAACCAATCTAAATATTTGTGTAGTCATTTCTTGGGGTCAATGTGACGTCAGAATACACTTATGATGATGTCGTTTTGCTCTCTGTGGCTGTATCAACAAAACTCCAATTTTCTTGGTCGAGGGAAGGAAAGCAGTTACTTTTTCTTGTTTATATTTAGTAATTTACTTCATTTCATACTTTTTTTTTTAAAACCACAACTTTGCCAAATACCGACTTTACATATATGAATTGGGGTTTTCATTGACTGGGGGGGCCATGATGAGGCAATAGCTATCAAGCTTGCCTGTCTGCTCTGAGTTCATAGGATTCAACTGCCTGCCTTGTTATAAAAATGGATCCAGATTCAAAATGTCTTCTGCTGCTGCTGCTTAAGTAGAGTTTCTGAGAATTGTAATGATTCATTTCTTTGTAATTTCTGAAAAGGGTCTGATTTAAAGATTTTTCACAGGATGAAAGAATTAAAGACCAAGAAAGGTAGATTTTTTTTTAAAGAAATCAGTTAACTCTTCTATATTAAACAATTTTTGCCTGGTTAGAAGCATAAATCGACAATGTTAACTCTTCCCTATCAAACAATATTTTGCCGCATAGAATAGGCAGTTGTGCTCTATTTTCACTAGCCCAATTGTTATCATCATCGCATGCCATGCCTATAAACACAGGCTGCCATATTCCGCTACCTCACATGATGACCAGAATAACCGATCAAGTCAGAGTCCTTGTCTCGCCCTATCCATAAGGCAAAGCCATCCGGGTAATTATCTCTTTGCTCCTTTCCTTTCAATATTGCCATCATCACCAAGTTCTCAAGTACATTCCTTCTCCTAACATGTCTGAAACACCTATTGTCTACCCTGAACTTCCCTAATCAGATGATGGTTTCATCCGTCTTGACAATGACCACCTCGTTTGTTTTTCTATCATTCCATAATATTCTAGTTTCACACAATCATGAATTACTATGATTGTTAAGGGTTCGAACCCAGTTGCAGGTGATTTAGCACTGCGCTGGTTTTGACAGTGGTACCCAAAGCTGACCATTCAGAAGCAATGGCAAACTACTGAATGTGCAATCTGCCAAGAAAAACGGCAAAAAAATGCTAGGGCTGGTTCTGCAACGTCCTGTAGATGTTAAACAACTATCTGGTGGTCAAGGACAAGGAAGTTTCCACTGTTCCTCTCAGAAACCACATCTCTGCTGAATCCAAGACTGCTGACCATATAGCAAAACAGAACGTATCAGTATCATTCAATGCATGTGTACGCTGTAGCAGGACTGTACCCGGTTTCAAGTTTTGGCACAAGGTAGTGTGACAGGCACTCCGTGTGGTTTTCCCTGGTATAGGAACACAGCAATTAAGGGGTGACTCGCTAGCCCTGAACGTGGAACTGCAACTAACTTATTTGAGTATATTCTTTCTCATTGCAACAGACATTTTAAGAAGAAACAAAAATTAAACTCACTCTGGCACTGGTCATGATGACAACCGGCTGGTCTGAAGGCTGAGCTTGTACGGGCACATAGGCGGCCATAAACACGTAGGTGGACTGCCATACTACATCCACAACTATGGATAAACCAGACAAGAACATGGCAATATTGTTAATATTCAAAAATATTAACTATAAACGCCCCCCCCCCCCTAATCATAACTTCTAACAATCAATTAAGTGCCATCTCCAAGCAAAAAAGGTTGACTGGTATAAACAACTACAATCTTTAATATCTTCTTCTGCAACCATCCCAAGATGTAATGTGCTGTGCCCATTCAAAGCATGGCTGCGATATTTGCAACTTATGTCTGACTCACCCGACTTCTGCAGACACCTGTTGACTGTTCAGCCTTCCCATGAACCTTGGATATTATATCAGACCAGAAAATTTTAATATCATCAATATTATTTAACATTAATTAGAAGTGATGGTTCATTCAGTTCTTTCTCTAGACATTGTTCTGTTTCAGTCTCAGGTTTTGAAGAGGCACGTCATGTGAGCCTTGGTGTGTGCTAAATAGATGCTTTAGAGACAGTCGGAGCACATTCCAGCATTTGTAATTAAGACCAAGATGTCATTAAAACGTTTACTATTACCTATGAAATGATTTGAGTGAATGACTAAGAGCAAGGAGTGAAATTGGAAGGGCAGCCTGTGTGTCGATTTCTTAAGCCTCTGATAACAAAGTTAGTTAGTTAGTTAGTTGGATTATCATCATTACACTCCGGACATGTTCATAGGTGCTCAGATCCATCCCTCAGTATGAACCCCAACGTCCGATGGCTAATAGTACCAGTTCTATGTTGATTAACTTCCAGTGTAAACAGCCACAATGGTGGTACGCTTTTTCGTCCGATGAGGCGAATGGCGCAAATTTGCTACTGTCCTCACTTATAATGTGAAAGTTTTATCGGAATGGGGTCTGAACCGTGCAATGGAGTACATGCACGTGAGTTCAGACTTCTCTCAGGGTGTATCCGACGTTCGATGGCGATTATTTACCCATTGAAAACTCTGATAACAAAGTGTTCATTTGTTTGTCCTTTCATTCTTCATACTAATATTTCTGTTCCTTTCCATGCTGGGGGGAAGGGAGCAGTGTTTCCCCCACCCAATGCCCTGCAACTCCTTTAGGGACGCAGACAAACAATTATGAGAGTATTTTCTGATGTCTGTGATAATGTGTATTTGTGTTTCAGCTTCTTTCAAAATTTTTAGATTGCTTATTTTGGCTGTCCATGGAATTTTGAATATTCTTCTGTAAAATGTCATCTCTGAGGTCTGAAGAGATATTCTGATCTGCATCTTAGCTATCCAGCATTCACAGCCTTATGTAAATACTGGCACTATGAAACAATTATATTTTGGCCAAATGAGAGGGATTTACTGCAGAAGATGTTCTTAATTTTGTTTGTTAAATACAGTTTTTGCTTGTTCCATTATGTTACCCTTTTGAAACATCTAATTCTATCCCTGTGCCTAGATGCTTGAAATGTCTGTACTTGTCTCAATTACACACATACAGAAAAAGACTGAAGAGATGAAGCAAAAATAAGCTTTCCAATCTCATATTAAACAAGTGCGCACACAACCCAAAGTATTACTATGTACTATTACGTATAAGTTATATAATGAGTAATGTCTTTAGACAGAAAAAAAAACCCACACATGTAGCAGAACGATTCAACTTTACAATAAAACAATCAAGAATGACAAAAAAATGAACAAAGTGAATAGAAAACCTTCATCAGCACATAAAGAACAAAGGCAAAGATTCAATTACTTAAAACACTACATACAATAAGCATGTAAGTAATGGCAGACCAGAGAAGCCTTCGTACCTCTATGTGGGCTGTTTAAAATAGCAGGACATGGCCAGACTTTCTTCTCCAAAAGTGCATGGTCATACTGGACTAGGGTCCCATCCTTCCTTCCTACCAGCAACTGTTTCCCTTTGGGGCTCCAACAAACTGAAACACAAGCAACACTTGGATGTAACACAAGTAAAACTGATCATGTCAGTGACACTCTTGCTATCAATGAGCTGCCAATGCTAGACATGGACAGTCTTAGAAAATATGACTGCAAAATTACATGTGGGGTGAGATGTACAAGAGATGGAACAACAAGAAGACAGTCACCAGTGTAGAACAAAGACAAATGTTAGGCATAGTTCAGGTAAATCATTTCACAGAACAACAAAAATCATAACAGCAGTCTACAAGCCAAGAAAGAGATGGGTGGAGGGAGTAAAAGAGATACTACAGAAATTTAATATGACATTAAAACAAGCTAAGATAACTAGCAAAAGACAAAAAAATGTAACTTCTCTCTGCGACACTTTACAGCTTAGCAGTAGGATTTGGAGGCATGACTACCTTTGGAAGTGGACCCTAATGGACAGCAAGAATAAAATTAATGCTATATGAGAAACAAAAGGCACTGAAGTCCTCAAACATCAGGATGATGATTCTGCAGCAAAGTCTCGGTACATCACCTAGAGCTGAATGATGTGAAAACCAAGTCATCAACCAATACAGAACAGGAACTGTCAGTGTAAACAGACTAAACAACATGCTTAAGAGATCTGCCCACTGAGCCATCTTCTCCTTCTTCACATTTACCGGCTGTAAACTCCTGAAGAAAGTGCTGGCTGTTGGCCAACTTCTGGACTCACATAGATGTCCTTCACTTCAAAGAAAACGCCCCTAATTAGCTGACTTTTATGACATGCTTGTCAGGAGCAGTGGGTCTATTCTTGTCCTCCCCTAAATGATCTCTCCACTATCGTCTTGGTCTGCCTAATCCTATTCAACAAACCACATAAATATTTATAAATGTGAAGATGCTCTTACAACTCGTAGCGCCCACAGCAGCAACCAGGACAGCAATGACCTTTGGGGTGTCTGTGACATCAATCAGCTCCACGTTGCCATCAGACGTACAAACAGCCAGCATGTTCGACACCGCAGGGTTCCAGGACAGGTCACAGACTTCTGCTGAAGGTGAGGAATTCACCTGGCTACAGGCAAACGGGGCTGGGTTTGTCCCCTGAAATTTAAAAAGAAAATATTACAAATGTATCTCTAAGGCAGCAGTTCTCAACCTGTGGGTCGCGACCCATTTGTGGGTCAAATGATCTACTTATGAAGAAGCAATTAAAATAACTTTATGGTTGGGTATCTGGTAATCCTAGTTTCAGCTTCATAGCAAACGGGTCACCCCACAGTTGCTCCGCTCCTGTGCCAACGAAAAACAAACGCAGCTCACAGTGTCACGCCATGCACTCAACTCAAAAGCTGGACGACGAAACTACATCCTTCCAGTCTACAAATGGAGCAAAAATGCAACGGCCACCATTGGGTATCGCCACAACATGAGGAACTGTATTAAAGGGTCGTGGTAGCAAGGTTAAGAACCACTGCTCTAAAGTATGAGATAATTTTAATAGATTTCTTCCTGTGTGTGTTCCAAGACCCCACGTTGGGGGGGACAAAAGAATTACTCATACTGCTTACCCAATAAGCATGTTATAGGAGTTGACTAACTGGGAGGCTGTGTTTGAAGTCTGGGCACATCTACCTGAGAGTCAAAGAACCAAGAGTCTGCACACAAATAAGCCAGATGTGTGAAATGGATGTGCATGCAAAACTCAGGTTCTGGAATATGACTAAAATCTGGAGGTGGATGAACACCCGAAACTTTCCGCTGGCCTTTACAGCTGGTGAATGTGAGGAAGAAGAACAAGATTAGATTTCTGGTTCTGGAAGGAAATGTGGCGAGGAATGCAACAGGTCACCTAAAAGAACATATGAAGATCTAACAAATGTCTCAACAAAAGAACTGCAAGAGGTTCAGACACCTGAATGTAATGTTTGTATTGTTGTATGAGTAACATTTTTTGTTCATGCTGATGAAAGCTCTTCAAAGCAATGTTTCCCTGTTGTGAATTTGAACAAAGAAGACAAAAACAATAGACTGCACACTTTTCTGCCAGGCATATTTCACTGTATCTCACCAGGTGCATACTAAGGTAACAATTCTGTTTGCCCTGGTGAAACAGATAGTTTTTGAAAGAAGTCGATTTTGTGTTTCAGTTCCAAGGATTCATTTATTTGCTTCGTTTAAATAAACTGTTACTGTTGTATACATATAATGCGATATAGCGAAAATTCCAAGCATTAAATTGTGCAATCTGTTATTTGTGTCTTCTTTGTTCAGAAAGCTCTTTAGCCACAACTGCGACTGTAAAATTGGCAAGCTAATAAGTTGTAATTTTCATTTGTCAAAGTTTAAGTTTTATTTAATTTCCCTAGAAAATATGAACGAATTACGGCTTATTTTAAGGTTACGCTGTTGCTGCCCCAAATCTGGCACAGTCAACATTATGTTTTGGTGTTTGGAGTCCTATCACCGGAGTTTTCTTCCCTGTACAACCGGATGTGTCTGAGGGAGGATGATGACCTCAGTTTCTGCTCTAGCATTCAAGCAGTATACATGTGGCTGTGAATCCTGGACAATCAGTAGGCAGGTCAAACAATTTCTAGAGGCCTCAGAGATGTGGTTTTACAGAAAAATGCTTATAATACCTTGGACAGCCAAAAAGAGCAACCAAGAGGTTTTCAAAGAGGCGGGAGCCCGAAGACCACTTATCACAGACATCAGAAGGAGACAGTCATAATTTTTCGGCCATGTTATGAGAAGAGGGAAAATAGAACATGTTGTGACCACTGGAAAGATCTGTGGAAGGAGGAATAGAGGAAGACATGGCATGGAGGTGTGTCGGCACACGAACTGATACATGCTGCAGGAGATCGCAGATTATGGAGAGGCATGATTGCCCACACTAGTCGGCAAGGCACCCGATGATGATGACGATACATTTTTGCTTATGTGAAGTCTTCAAGCTTGAGAGCAATACCTTTGTGCTCTCTGTCTATCCTGATGATAGAAAAGGAGTTGAGAAACTGTGCACTAAATTAAGATTCCTATTCTACACCGCATGGCCATTCTATCAGATTTGAGTGGCATTCATTAAAAACAGAAGTAGAAAGACTGAAGGACACACCATAGGTTTTATCTCATTACTTCTTTCTATGAGTGCTGATCAATACACTACTTGTTTTTAAAAAAATTAAATAACAATGTTTTTAAGGCCTCACGTAATCTTCCTCTATTTATTTGCTATTGAAGTTAGCCTCCCAACACCTTTTGTTTGTTCTTTCCCTCATTCTCTCTTTACTGTGCTATTTCTGATCAGTCGACTTTCTTAAAACACATCACATATTTGTTGTCTGAGGACAAAGGTGTCCATACAATTTTCTCTGCAGAACTCACACTCTTCAGCCAAGCACCATCTGTTTAAAAATGTTTTTATTTAGTTGATGAGAAAGGCTTTCTATGGCTAGTGTAATGTACATGTTGTCACTTGTAAATATGTCCTAAGACCTACACTTCCAGCTTTCACTCATTTATCAAGTACATTATGTATGTTATGGTTATGCTTACAAATAGAATGACAAAAACACAATAGAATGACAAAAACAATAGAATGACAAAAACACTATAATATACCTTCTCAGCAAACGATCGGACATCAAAGAAGAGGATAATTATGCGGCCAGAATCCTGAACAGCTACTGCAAGATAGAGGCCATCGCAGCTCACATCCATGAAGTGGACGGAAGTGCCGATGTTGATGCTCACAAGGATCGGGATATCTTCAACAACCACTTTGCTTCTCTCTTTGCCCTTGGTTGCATCAATTGCCAGGAGGTCTGCTGTTCTGACAACTGAAAAACCTGTGAATAAAATCATCATCATTTGTGAACTGTAATCAGGGCTTTTAAATCTGACAGCACCAGTGCAAATTTTTTTTTTTAAACAGCAAGTTTTTCCTTGCTTCATTTTGTGGTCAGTACAAAGCACTCTATACCTGCGACGTTGCTTTCTCAGTGAGCTCTAGCTGTTTCCTAGGGGATTGTACAATGGCTGACATATATTACGAATTGACGCGCACAGATGTTATTGAGGAGACATAATCGCGGTTTATATCTTTATTACTCACAGATGACAATCCGGTCCAGTCACCGTCAGCTACTCTCTAGCATGTCCAACTATTCAGCAGGTAACAATGACAAAGTTCCTCACCGTTGTTTACAAGCATTCACGTTCGTTACCTTAGAAATCTTCACATCTCAATCGCGCCACAAGTACAGGCATCAAACAAGCATCTCTGGCCGCTGGCTGTTCAGCTCCACCATCAGGTTTGTCGTCGACTTGACTGGATTCTGGCTAGGTGGTCATTTTGTAGAATTCAATCTCCTCCACGTTGTTCAGTTATACAATGTCGCATTCGTGCTCTTACAAAACACAACCTCTCACTCTGGCTGCAAATCACACACTGCTTTGGAATCTCGTCCAATCTTTCAACCTCATTCTTATTCCTTCGTGCAGTCACCTGAGCACTCTTCCTGCAATTCATGCTTCTTCGGGTAATTGTTTTCTCACGCATTTCTCTCTCAAACTATTTTTAACCTTACACGTCACTTGAAATTCAATGTGGAAATTCCCCATATTACAAAACTGATGTGGGCAATCATATTTCCATACAATCAAACTGATCAGCTCACATGTTGACATTTTCTCCTTACAATGATATCAAGCTGGAGCACGAACGGGTCGACTGATGTGCTGAGACTTTGATACTGACAAGTTTAAACATGCACAGTTGAAATGTCCACTCAAAACTCACACCCTAATTTTCAAATGCTTTTGTCCTCTCTGTCTGGTCACTTGACCTGGCACAGCGTAAATGTGGCTCATGTCTCATGCATCAAGTATCGCTAACTTGTTCTGAACTGCTGTCGCTGTCCAGTAAACAGTTAACTGATGTGCAGTCTAACTTACTATCCGCTGTTGCTAAGTTAGTTACATTCATACCCACAGACTGAAGGTTCATGACAATAACAGCAGTACACACCTTGTTCCGTGGCATAAACTAGAAGTCCGTACTGGGAAGAACATGCCAGCAGCTTTCCCCGATTTGCTGAAATATCTCTGCCAGGAGGGGATACTCTGAACTTACACAGCTGAATAAATTCAAAATCCTGAGGGGGGGGGGGGGGGGGGGGGGGGGGGTGTGAATAAAAAAGAAACATGCATTAAAACAGCTTTGGTTGCATGAATGAATAAAGAATAGATACTACAGCACTTTTGGATTTCCCATTCGCGCTCCGTCTCCTTTCCAAAAAAAATTGTCCATACCGAAGGTGCCAGATGCAACCTGATTAAAGGCTAGCCTGTTTTTTCCCCTCACGGATAGAAAATCAAGGTTAGGTTGGACTATACCAGTTAACTCAAAATTTAATAATAACCTCAAACAATGTTTTTGTTGCTATAGGCGTACAGTATGGATAACATACCTGCTCATCAGAACTGCAAGCCTGGGTTCATATCTGAATTTAGAATGAACTACTGTTCTAGCTAAGTTTAACCCACCCTTGCAAAACAAGAGTCATAAATTTGTTTAATCCACAAGGAGGGGAAAAACTCACCTAAGTTCAAAGGATATATGTCAAGGTCTGCCCTCCTTTTACACACACACACACACCCACGATATCATGACATTCAAGAAATCAGTGCTGCCACAAGTGGAAGTACATTCATAACCCCGGAGCGGCAATCTCTCTAACTCTAATTAAAAGACTATTAGTCTGACTGGGCTATTGAAAGTATGAAAGAATCAATAAGTTGTGTGTGTGTGTGTGAGCTTGTTAAGGCGTAGGTGGATATTTGATTATTTTCAATTTTACTTATCAATGTAGTACTTACTAACTAAAACGGCTCTCCTTTGAACTTCATCCCCATATTATGGAGGCCAAACAAATGCCCTAACAGGGCCTCAGTCATGTGTAAAATGCGGCCTTCCTCCGACAAACACATTGCAGCAAAACTAGGATTACTGTCCGCTGACACTTTCGAGAAACACAACAATACACACGATAATAGCGAGATGGTGGGGAGACTACCCGCTCTGACGCAGGTTAGGGATTGTGTTCTTCTGATTAAATTAAACTCACGGCCAAGTGTATCCCCTGTACCGCTTCAAGTCCCAGCCATCTAGTTTAGCCCCAATCCCCACCGCACGTAGCGGTGTTGGGGATACTGTCGGTGGCGCGGCACAGTCACAGAAACAGGTCCCCCATTAACATATCGCTGATACCCTGTTAGAGCATTTGTTTGCGCTTGATAATACTGGCCTGTTATTCGGAGGCTATCCTAGTTTTGCCGCGATTTGTTCCTTGGCAGGCACTCCACATTTTATACACGACTGAGGCCCTGTTAGGTTATTTGTTTGGCAGCCATAATATGGGGGCGAAGTTCGAAGGAGAGCCATTAAAACACGTTCACAGAAGCAGTTATTTAAGGACAAAGTGAAGGTAGAAGTAGATCAAATTTTTTTCTTTTTTTTTTAAACATTAATTTAATAAGATGTAACATACACTGTGAAATAAGTCATTTATTTACAACCCAGCTTCTGTCTGATGTACTAACAATAATCAATCAATCATTTCAGAAACAGATGATCTTCCTTGCCTGATTCTAAAGTGAAACTAACTATTCTATTCATTAGATTTAACTTGTTAGTTTGTTTTTTTTTATTCATTGGATTGTTTGTACAAGAAGTAATCTAATGCTATTAATGAAAAAAAAAACTGGAGTGGAGAGAGCACAACTAACAACAGGAAAACTTGAGTGGAGGGGGGAGAGGCGAGAGGGAGACCAAGTAATAGAGAGAGAGTATCGAGGATGATGCTTAGTACTAATTAAATGAATGAGACATGAGAAATCTAAGAAATGAGGATCAGGATCGCGACAAGCTAAGCTACGGTCTACTCAGACTAAAAAAGTACTGTACACAATTGACAAATGAATAAACGAATTTAATTCACAAGACACATTAATTGTCTACTAACCCTAACATCTCTTTCTGGCGGGCTATTATCCGACATTTCGCTTCAAATGTTTCACTTTCAGTTTAAGTTGCGATTTCTAAGATTTCTTCTCCGCCTTTCAAACAGACGCGATACAGGAATAGGAAATCTCTTCTGTCCGGAGTACATCATTAACGTGCAAGTACCAAGGCCGCCAATGATGGGTTTTTACCCCCAGATCTGGGTTTTTATTTGAGGCCTTGGGTTCAAATTTTAAATTTTTTTTTTTTGCCTGTGGATTGCTTGGGTTTTTGTTCAGCTTAGCTGGGTTTTTCACACACACACAAAATCCAATTGGCAGCCCTGGCAGGTACAATTTCCTATTAGAGGTATCTCCACCAAACAACAAAATCACCCCAGAAGATATGGTCATAACAACAACAACAACAAGACAGTAATCTGGTAATCCTAGTTTCCCAGACTACTGTCTTGTTGTTGTTGTTGTTGTTGTAATGACCATATCTTCTGGGGTGGTTTTGTTGTTTGGTGGAGATACCTCTTAATAGGAAATGGGAAAACAAGACAGAGACTCCAGTGTGGTATACGTGCAAATGGCAAAATTATTAAACAAGTGAATAGATACAACTATTGTGGAACAGTCAAAACATCTAACCCAAGACGCTTGCAGATATTATAACAAAAATCACTATGGCAAACGTGGCTTTTAAACAAGAAGCAAAACAATATATGCTAACCAATAACATGTTAATTGCAGAGAGAGAAAGGAGTATTAAAGTACTTTGCAGAACCCGTGTTGTTCTATGCATGTGAAACATGCACAATAATTATTTTTTTTAAAGCAAAAAACTGAAAAACATTAACTCGCATCATTATATATATATATATATATATATATATATATATATATATATATATATATATATATATATATATATATATATATATATAATGAAACTGTCTTGGTAGACTTTTGGAAGGTTTACTTTCAAAAGTTCCATGAAATATTGCTTTTCTGCTTACGAGTGAAAACGTAATTTCGGCGGTGCTACTCGCTCAACAAAGATTAACGCACAACGCAGAAAGCTTTGCGAAGATAAACGTACACCGTGACACCCCTCTAACGTAGACTAGCCTAAGCAAGCAGGACCTCTCCTATGTTGAGGGGATGTCATGATATGACTTGGTGTGGCGTTCACTCGACGTATAAAATATTTGTGATAGGTTGTGTTGTTGTAAGTCTATTTCAGGCGCCACAATCCTTAGCTATCGAAACCGGGATGTTTCTGTATGTCTTAGTACGTTGGCAGTGACTTTCCCCGAGAGGAAGAGAGCAGTTACAAGAAGCATAGTCATAGGAATAAAAAAAAATATAGCTGTTTCCATACTCCTGCACCGACACGCAGGTAGCAGAACGTGACAATAATCCCCCAAGCGAGCGGCAAGAAAACGATAAAAGAGGCAACATGTAAACCGCTCACAGAAAGGAAAACTTGACTCCCCCGAAACATAGGAGAGGTCCAGCGACCTAAGAAGGCATGAATGGCAAGGGAAGTTACTCTAATTATGGGCCTGGAAACGTGAACAACGCCGAACATTAATTACATTTAAAATATACTAAAAGAAAATTTAATTTGTAAAAAATAAATTAAAAATCGGAATTTGTTGTGACCCCGGTAGACTGTGATGCCCCAAGATGTAGCTTATTTAGCTTATACCTAAATCCAGCAATGCATGCAATCACGTTGAAGATCGCCGAAGAAGAAGTAGAAAATCCTATTTCCGCTGACATAGTCAGCGAAAGAAAAGAAGTACGTTTTAAACAGTATCAAATCAGCAACAGAAAGAAGCCAACAATTTTGACGATTGTCTGCTAGGAAAGGGACATGAAGAGAATGGCCACGCAAGGCAGCATAAACCATGCTTTGTCCATGACAATATTAGCTGAGTGCTCCACTTCCAAAGCTCGGGCCAGTGTTGTCAGGTTACCGCACGCTCTGGTCGACACGCCAGTATTTATGCCCGTGGGAACTCAGGGGACACTAAAGGGTTTGGTTCCCGACCAGCTGAGAGAACTCGACTGTCGGATCATGCTGGGCAACACATACCATTTGGGACACAGACCTGTAAGTTGGTACCCTGTACTTTTCGTTTTACGCTTTAACTATTCATTTGCCCCTCTTCATGTAAGTTCAGGGGTCCCACTAGGGGACCTGGGGATGGGTGGGAAAGAAAAGACCCACTGCCACCTAAAAAGCATGTCGTAAGAGTCGACTATTAACTGGTAATCTGTTAATCTGGGGTAATCCTAGTTTCAGCTTCATAGCATACTATTAACTATTAGTATTAGTAATAATTAATAAAGTGTAATATTACGGCTCTCCTTCGAACTTCTACCCCAGCATTATGGCGGTCAAACAAATACCCTAACAGGGCCTCAGTCCTATTAAAAATGCGGACTTGTACTTCTTGCCAAGGAACAAATCGCGGCAAAACTAGGATTGGCTCTGAATAACGAAACAAATGCTCTAACAGGGTCTCAGTGATATGTTAATTGCGGACCTGTTTCTGTGACTATGCCTCACCGCCGACAGGTGTCCCCTGCGCCGCTACGCGCTGTGCGGATGGGGGGCTAAACTAGATGGCTGGGGCTCACAAGCAGCAGCTACCGCGTCTACTGCAACTCCCTCCAATTTTTTTGCTCATGAGTCCCAGGCATCTAGTTTAGATCCCCATCCGTGCCCCGGCATGGCGCGGGGGATACTGTTGTGAGTTTAACCGCGTTTTGCGCATGCTGAAAAGTGTGAGGACAACGATGCTAATTTGCGTCGGAGCGCGTGGTCTCCCTGCTATGACGCTATTATCGTCTGTAATGTTGCGTGTGAATTTGTTAATGGTCACTAGTATCGTCTGCAGAACCGCTCTAAATTGTCAACCGCCGCTATTATCATCTGCTACTATCCTCTGCAATGTTGCGTCTCTTGAAATTGTCAGGTAATTCTAGTTTTCCCTTGATTTGTTTGTCACAGGAAGTCTGCATTTTTTATAGGACTGAGGCCCTGTTAGGGTATTTGTTTGGCCGGCGTAGAAGCATACAGTATTCAGATATTTGTCTTCTCCAACATCCTTAGGATTCTACACACTGTACAGAGAAACCATATAGTTTCAGGACACACGGAAATTCTAAACTATCACAGTATAAAACTGGGAGCTCAGTACACAGTTGGGTTAATAGTCAGTACCCTCTGATTGGAATCAGCAAACATTTATGTCACGGTTGGAGTCTAGATAGAAACACATCAACGTTTGGGATCAGCACAGGTAAGTTTGGATCAGTACCCTGTTGACCAAAAATCTGTGTGCTGCTGGCTTGGGATCTGTACTCTAGAAGTATTGCTATCTACACTCTATTTATAGTACCGATGTATTTCTATTTTTATGACTTCTTTCTATTCATCAGGGTCCTGATTTGCTAGAGAAAGCTGGAAGACAGTGAACACAGTTTACAGACAGTAAACACAGTTTACAGACAGTTTACAGACAGTGGAAACACAGTTTTACAGTTTACAGACAGTGAACACAGTTTACAGACAGTGAACACAGTTTACAGACAGTGAACAAAGTTTACAGACAGTGAACACAGTTTACAGACAGTGAACACAGTTTACAGACAGTGAACACAGTTTACAGACAGTGAACACAGTTTACAGACAGTGAACACAGTTTATAGACAGTGAACAGTTTACAGACAGTGAACAGTTTACAGACAGTGAACAGAGTTTATAGACAGTGAACACAGTTTATAGACAGTGAACAGAGTTTATAGACAGTGAACACAGTTTATAGACAGTGAACACAGTTTATAGACAGTGAACAGAGTTTATAGAAAGTGAACACAGTTTATAGACAGTGAACACAGTTTATAGACAGTGAACTCAGTTTATAGACAGTGAACACAGTTTATAGATAGTGAACACAGTTTATAGACAGTGGACACAGTTTATAGACAGTGGACACAGTTTATAGACAGTGAACACAGTTTACAGACAGTGAACAGTTTATAGACAGTGAACACAGTTTACAGACAGTGGACACAGTTTACAGACAGTGGACACAGTTTACAGACAGTGAACACAGTTTATAGACAGTGAACAGTTTATAGACAGTGAACACAGTTTACAGACAGTGAACACAGTTTACAGACAGTGGACACAGTTTACAGACAGTGAACACAGTTTACAGACAGTGGACACAGTTTACAGACAGTGGACACAGTTTACAGACAGTGGACACAGTTTACAGACAGTGGACACAGTTTACAGACAGTGGACACAGTTTACAGACAGTGGACACAGTTTACAGACAGTGGACACAGTTTACAGACAGTGGACACAGTTTACAGACAGTGGACACAGAGAAAAAGAGAACCCTTAGTAGACGATCGGCCTGCAGCCACCTCTCAACTGTCTTATTGTTTGCAACCCCCAGCTGATCCCTTCATGCAGTCATTGTGATCCCTTCATGCTGTCACTGTGATCTCTTCATGCTATCACTGATCCCTTCATGCTGTCACTGTCATCCCTGTATGCCATCAGTGTGATCCCTTCATGCTATCACTGTGATCCCTTCATGCTATCATCGTGATCCCTTCATGCTATCACTGTGATCCCTTCATGCTGTCACTGTGATCCCTTCGTGCTGTCTCTGTGATCCCTTCATGCTATCACTGTGATCCCTTGATGCTGTCCACTGTGCCATCAATGTGATCCATTCACTGTGATCCCTTCATGCTGTCACTGTGATCCCTTCATGCTGTCACTGTCATCCCTTCATGCCATCACTGTGATCCCTTCATGCCATCACTGTGATCCCTTCATGCTGTTGATGTGATCCCTACATTTTATCACTGTGATCCCTTCATGCTGTCGATGTGATCCCTTCATGCCATCACTGTGATTCCTTCATGCTGTCGATGTGATCCCTTCATGCCATCACTGTGATCCCTTCATGCTGTCACTGTCATCCCTTCATGCCATCACTGTGATCCCTTCATGCTGTCACTGTGATCCCTTTATGCCATCAGTGTGATCCCTTCATGCTGGGACTGTGATACCTTCATGCTGTCACTGTGATCCCTTTATGCCATCAGTGTGATCCCTTCATGCTGGGACTGTGATCGCTTCATGCTGTGACTGTGTTACCCATCTCTATCTCTAATAGTCCTCTCCATGTTTTGTTTTGTTTTAAACCTGTTTTAGCAGTACCTGCTTAAGCAGGTCAGCAAGTTAAAATATTTGGGGATAATTATAACATCTGATGGAAGATGTAATCAGATTAAGAGCAGACTATGCCAGGCGAAAATGAACTTTTGAAAAAGAAACCACATTTTGTACAAGAGGTTTCTCTCATAAACGTAAGGCAAAAAGTCTTGAAATGTTATGTTAAACCAGTGCTGCTGTATGGCCATGAATTGTAGAATGTGAGTGAACAAATTGTGAAGAACCTGGAGGCCGTAGAGATGTGCTTTCTGAGATGTGTGCTGCGGATACAGTGGACAAACAGAGTGACTAATTTGACCACTTTGAAATGGCTAATGAAGTTAGAAAACGTAACGTGCATGTTGAAAAAGGTGATTATTTTGGAGTTTTCTTAAATTGGGAGTATTGTGCTGAAAGGTGCAGATATCATAATAGCCTAGCTGTAAACTACACTACATGGAAACTGCTCTCTTAAAAGTGAATGCAGAATAGAATAAGAAAAAGACGTGAAAAGGTCAAAAGGGCTTAGTGTTAGTTAATTGACCTTTAGGAGTTGAAAGACAAGAAGAAAACAGTAGGCAGTGAGTTTCATTGTGGTTAAAGTACTGCAGAAGTACAGAGACAAATGGTGGAATATATATTGTAAAGAGTGTGGCTTTAGGATGACAAGGATTTCCCACTTGGGGTTCCAGGGCCCCTTATTGGGGGCAACAATAACAGACCAACTGTCTCCCTAGCAAGCATGTTGTACCAGGTGACTGATTAGCGGATGTTTCCTTTGAACTCGGAGTGCATCTTTCTGAGGGCAAGGAACCAGCAGTCTGCATACAGATAAGCCAAATCTGTAAAATGGAGGTGCATGCAAAACTCTGGAACAAGACCAAAGTCCAGAAATGGATGAACAACCAGAACTTTCTGCTAGAGTTTACAGTCAGTGAATGCCAAGAAGAAGAAGAAGGAATAGACATAGGAAGGAATAGATTATTCTCTTATTGTTTTTCATTTCAGGACAGTGGCGGCTTTCAAATGGTCTCATTGTTAGAGTTGGCAGAAATCACAGAAGAAGGTGTCAAGTTCAGATCCCCACATGATGGCTCAGAAATGCTCCTTACACCAGAAAAATCTATTGAAATTCAAAATTCAATTGGTGAGTGCTTGATTTTAATTGGTATATTTATTGTTATGCTTTAGTAACAGACTTGAGCAGTCAGAATCTAATATGAATATGACAGTTTAAAAAATGGGCTTTGTTCGAAGACAGGGGTTGGAGTCTCTGAGGTGGTCAGAGCTGATAAATATCACTTTCATAATTGTGCTAGAGCATACAGGCTTACTAGGAAATGAGCAAGCTGGTAGGCTTTCATGTAAAGCTACTGTCAAGGGCAGCAAGCCATGGACCAGGCTGATATACTGAAGGCTCTACGAGAAGTAGGATGTTTGCAAGAACCAAGCGATGACTGAATCTGCAAGCATGATTAACTGCAAGAACAGCGTGTTAAAATGGGTGTGGCCAGACAGGAGCATTAAGCAGGAAGCCAAAGAAAATAGAAAACCAGCTCAGATCTATTGACAGCTTGTGGACTGAATGGTTGTGTCTGCAATGAGAATATGTTGACTAACTAGATAAATAATTGAACGGTTTTCATAATAATATTTTGACTAACTAGCTAAGTAATTGAAAGGTTTTTATTATCAACTATGACATTAGGTAAGAACTATAGTAGCATATTACATAACTGTTATAGTCAGTTTTTATTATCATGTAGCAAGTCCCACATTACAACACTTACAGAGCTTTTAAAACAACTGTGCTATCATGAAGTTTAAAAACTATTGTAGCACAGTTACAAAGCTTTCATAATCAGCTATGTTCACATGGTAAGAACTACAAAATATAAGTTATAACGCTTTCATATTGACCATGACATTATGTAGTGAGAACTACAATAGAACAGGTAGAAAACTTTCATGATCAGCCGTCACTATCTTGTAGCAAGTCCTACATTACAACACCTGTAAAACTTTTATAATCAACAGTATTGTCGTGTTGTAGCAGGTGCTGTAATGCTGCTCTTACAAAACTCACAACCAACTGTTGTGCATGTTGCAAGCCATTTGTAGCTCATTGTTCTAATTTCACTGGAGAGATTCTTATCCTTTGGCAGTTCCATTGTCACATACATTTTGATGTCCTTTCTTCCTTCCTTCCTTCTCATTCACTGGCTGTAAACTCCAGCAGAAAGTCCTGATTGTTCATTGACTTCTTGACCTTTGATCTTGTTCCAGGAATTGAATGTTGCATTTACATACATCCGTTTTACAGATCTGGCTGATTTGTTTGCAGACTGTTGGTTCCTCACCTCTTAGGCAGATGCTCTCCAGCTGTCAACGAAACACTGATCCTGTTTACATTGGCAGGGCCTCCAGTGGGAAACATGTTTATATGATGACCAGAAGTGCCTTGATCTAAGTTCACCTATCTGAGTGGTTCATATCCTGTACATCCCTTCTAATGTCCCAATATCTTTAATGCCCTTAGTCCACTGATAGGTTGGTCAGCCTGCTTCTTTCTAGGCAATGTATTTTGGTAAATTCAGATTCCAGGTGTTTAACTACACATATAACCCGATATGTTATTTCTAAAGTCGTAGCAATTTGTGAATGCTCATATGTTATAATTTATTTGTAGGAGCAGATATCATCATGCAACTTGATGATGTTGTGCACTCATCAGTAAGTGGGCCAAGGCTGGAGGAAGCTATGTACAGGTAACAGAGACATTGCTCAGGGCCTTAAATAATTGGGAGATATCACTTGATTAAAGCAAATAGCTCAGGGCCTTAGATAATTGGGAGATATCACTTGATTAAAGCAAATTGCCCAGGGCCTTAAATAATTGGGAGATATCACTTGATTAAAGCAAATTGCTCAGGGCCTTAAATAATTGGGAGATATCACTTGATTAAAACAAATAGCCCAGGGCCTTAAATAATTGGGAGATATCGCTTGAGTAAAGCAAATAGCTCAGGGCCTTAAATAATTGGGAAATATCACTTGATTAAAGCAAATAGCCCAGGGCCTTAAATAATTGGGAGATATCACTTGATTAAAGCAAATAGCTCAGGGCCTTAAATAATTGGGAGATATCACTTAATTAAAACAAATAGCTCAGGGCCCTAAATAATTGGGAGATATCGCTTGATTAAAGCAAATAGCTCAGGGCCTTTAATAATTGGGAGATATCACTTGATTAAAGTAAATAACACAGGGCCTTAAATAATTGGGAGATATCACTTGATTAAAGCAAATAGTTCAGGGCCTTAAATAATTGGGAGATATCACTTGATTAAAGCAAATAACACAGGGCCTTAAATAATTGGGAGATATCGCTTGATTAAAGCAAATAGCCCAGGGCCTTAAATAATTGGGATATATCACTTGATTAAAGCAAATAGCTCAGGGCCTTAAATAATTGGGAGATATCGCTTGATTAAAGCAAATTGCCCAGGGCCTTAAATAATTGGGAGATATCGTTTGATTAAAGCAAATAGCTCAGGGCCTTAAATAATTGGGAGATATCACTTGATTAAAGCAAATAACACAGGGCCTTAAATAATTGGGAGATATCACTTGATTAAAGCAAATAACACAGGGCCCTAAATAATTGGGAGATATCACTTGATTAAAACAAATGGCTCAGGGCCTTAAATAATTGGGAGATATCACTTGATTAAAGCAAATAACCCAGGGCCTTAAATAATTGGGAGATATCACTTGATTAAAGCAAATAGCTCAGGGCCTTAAATAATTGGGAGATATCACTTGATTAAAGCAAATGGCTCAGGGCCTTAAATAATTGGGAGATATCACTTGATTAAAGCAAATAGCCCAGGGCCTTAAATAATTGGGAGATATCACTTGATTAAAGCAAATAACACAGGGCCTTAAATAATTGGGAGATATCACTTGATTAAAGCAAATTGCCCAGGGCCTTAAATAATTGGGAGATATCACTTGATTAAAGCAAATCTTTGACAGAATGGTCAATATTTTGAAATGAACATTTATTGTGGTTTTCAAAACAGTAGATGTTTTCATGATATCTGATAACTGTCAAAGGTTAATGTTTAAATTATCTGAGATGAAAAAAAGAGCAGTGAAATGTTAAATCAAACCTGTGGTACTCTGTGGTGGTGAATATTATAAAGTATAAGAATTTGGAGGCATCAGGGATGTTGGCAAAGAAGAGCACTAGTAGCGACACCTTGAGAATTCGATGTGTGGGTTAAGGGGTTTGGGGGGACCCACTGCCCCCCTTCCAATTACTTGTAGTAAACGTTGATTAAGTCGTTATGTTTCCTTTGAAGCCAGAGTGCATCTGCCTGAGAGGCAAGGAACCAACAGTCTGCACACAACTAAGCCAGATCTCTCAATTGGATATACATGCAAAACTCCGGCTCTGGAACAGGACCAAAGTCCAGAAGTGGATGAGTAGTCAGAACTTTCTGTCGGAGTTTACAGTTGGTGAGAACTTTCTGTCGGAATTTACAGTTGGTGAGAGCTTTCTGTCGGAGTTTACAGTTGGTGAGAGCTTTCTGTCGGAGTTTACAGTTGGTGAGAGCTAAGAAGAAGACACCATAACAGTAGAGTTTTTGCTACTACTAGAGAACATATCTTATATGCATTTGTTTATTCTCAGTATGTGTGTCAGTGTCTGATTACTAGTTTATTTTCCTCTCATTTATAGAAGCACAGCAGTGCATATAATGTGTTTCGTTTCCTGAAAGGCACCTCTTTTTTGCTCACACAGGACCATACGATGGTTGGACAGATGCATCAAAGCTCACCAGAGACCCAAAGACCAGTGTTTGTTTCCAATAGTGCAAGGTGGACTCGATGCTGAGTTGAGAACAAAATGTGCCCATGGTTAGCGGTTGTTTTCTGTTGCCTTATTGTTGCAGAGTTGCCATCTGTGGCTTAGGCTTTGCTAACATGGTTTGTAATTCCGAGATACCTGGTTCAATCCCAGCTGTGGGCAGTTTTGGCAGCAGACTGCCATTCGTTGTTTTTGACAATGGTATTTGTGGGGGGTGGGGTGGGTGTGTTTACCCTTGACATAGTCCCCTAGAACTTAAAAGTTCTGAAGGGAGGCCGGGGGGTATAGCATAGCAGCTGGGTGCTCACCTGGCAGCCCAAAGGTCAAGGGTTAAGATCTGTATTAGCACATTTTTTTTCTCTTAAAAACTGACCTTGGATCTCAGGTTGACCCAGCCTAAAATGAGTGCCAGGTAATCTCCTGGGAAGTAAAGGTCGCTGTCAGAGTGTTAATCACATCCCGCATTGAGTACTGATTTGTCTGTCGAAATGTAGATCTAGCACAGTATTCCTTATGCACCAGATAGGCATTGAAAGGGTCTTTTACTTGTTTTTTGTTTTAAATTGTATCCTCTATACATGCTACCTAAAACCATAGTCTTATAGACCGTGACTGTGTTTATCTTCAAATAATCTCTGATTTAGGGATTCATTTACGTTTCTTTTCTTCTTGTTCACAGAACTGATCAAGAGAGATGTGGGAGGTTACGCTATTGGTGGTCTCAGTGGTGGGGAGGAGAAGGCCGAGTTCTGGAGGATGGTCAAAATCTCCACAGACCTGCTCCCGAAGGAGAAGCCACGATACTTGATGGGAGTCGGGTGAGACTGGGTGCATGTTGTGTGCTGGCTGTGTGCATGTTGTGTGCTGGCAGTGTGCATGTTGTGTGCTGGCTGTGTGCATGTTGTGTGCTGGCTGTGTGCATGTTGTGTGCTGGCTGTGTGCATGTTGTATGCTGGCTGGGTGCATGTTGTGTGCTAGCTGTGTGCATGTTGTGTGCTGGCTGTGTCAATCTACTTTTATCCTGTGGTGTGTAGGGCTCATTGAAAAGTCTGTTGACATTGCCATAAAGGGTTTGAATGATCCTCATAAACAATGAATGGAAATCTATCCCACAAAACCAACCTTATAAACTTCTTCTTAGTGTTCACTGGTTATAAACTAGGTCAGAAGGTTCTAGTTGTTTGTTTGCTTCTGGACATTAGTTTAAATCCAGAACATGAATTTTGTGTGCACATCTGTTTTACTCATCTAGTCTACTTGTGTGCAGACTGTTGGCAGGCAGATGCACTGTATCTTTGGAGAAAAGATCCATAATTGGTTGCCTTTTATGTCATGCTTGTAGTAGAGGCAGTGGGTCTGTTCTCCCCCCCCCCCAAATGGGGCCCTGGAACCCACACGAGAATCCTTATAAACAAATTAGGGGGACCTGTAGGGAGACCTTGGATGCATCTACTTGTTCATGGCCCATGCTAAAGGGTAGTCTTAGCAAACATTGACCACTGAAGAAGAAAAGACCTGAAATGTTATCCCTAAATGTAGTTTTCAATTGTCCTTTTCTTCTCCCTTTTATCACCCACTGGAGCATATACCCTCAACCACCTAATGCCAAGTCGTCCTATCCTTTACTCTTGTATGCAGCTCACTTCATTTCCTTCTGATCCTTTTACCTTACTCTCTAGATCCCTCCTCCATGTGTTTTATTTTAATCTGCCTTTATTTCTATGCCCTTGTGGGTTCCGGTGTAAAGACATTCTGGTTAAATTGTTCTCAGGATTTATCCACATGTGTTATATCTAACTCCACCATCTTTGGTCCACTGGGACTTGTTTAGTTCTCTCCCACAGCCTAGCGTTAATGATTCTATCATCCCATTTAATTCCCTCTATTCTGTGCAGGCACAGTTTAATCAGTGTTTACAGTTTATTAATAATTCTTCAGTCCTGCAGGAGTAAGGAGTCATGCCACTGGGCGGACCACTGGAAGCTAAATAGTCCAGTGTGAGAGTGACTGTCCCTGTCACGATTTCCCCATCTGTCAGATCGGGAAGGTCCTGCAGCAAGTGACTGCATTTGATACTTGTGCCTCTTGTCCTCAGTTACTCAGTTTGGGTTGTGCTCAAACAGCACCAGTCCATTTCTTTTCTCCAGGAATATCTGTCGGCTGCAACTCTTACCTTCCTTTCTAAGCTTGGGGCTTAACTTCTTTATATGAACATGTCTCCAGGTATTTCAGTTGGACCAGTAAGGGTAAGCACCACTTGAGAGTCAACTCATTTATTGATAATAACTATTTTAACAAGACAGTAGCATTAGTTGATATAAAAAAATCTGACATCTGACTACTGTGCCACAAATCACCACAATGCCAGTACATATCACCATGATGCCAGTACATATGACCACTGTGCCAGAATGTATGACCACTGTACCAGTACATTTGACCGCTGTTCAAGTACATACGACCACTGTGCCAGAACGTATGACCACTACTAGAATGTTTGACCCATTGTGACAGAACATATGACCACTGATTTTTATTTTTCAGGTTTGCAGTGGACCTAGTTGTGTGTGTGGCACTGGGATGTGACATGTTTGACTGTGTGTTTCCCACACGAACTGCTGTAAGTGGGTCATTTCTTCTGTGTGGCCTCTTCTTCTTTGCTAGTCCTGTTCTCCCTTTCAGCATCAGGTTTTAAAGAGGCATCGGGTGCAAGCCTTGGTCTATGTGCTACGTGTATGTTGTATATATGGCCTCGGATATTCCATCTATCCATCGCTTGCATGGAATAACTCTGGCTCTGCTTCCATTGTGTCTGAATGACAAGGCTCTGTGTGGTGCACTGACGGGTGGACTGTGTGGTTCACTGACTGATGGTCTGTGTGGTGCACTGACTGGTAGTCTGTGTGGTGCCCTGACTGGTGGTCTGTGTGGTGCACTGACTGGTGGTCTGTGTGGTGCACTGACTGGTGGTCTGTGTGGTGCACTGACTGGTGGTCTGTGTGGTGCACTGACTGGTGGTCTGTGGGGTGCACTGACTGGTGGCCTGTGTGGTGCACTGACTGGCGGTCTGTATGGTGCACTGACTGGCGGCCTGTGTGGTGCACTGACTGGTGGCATGTGTGGTGCACTGACTGGGGGTCTGTGTGATGCACTGACTGGGGGCCTGTGTGGTGCACTGACTGGCGGTCTGTGGGGTGCACTGACTAGCGGTCTGTGTGGTGCCCTGACTGGTGGTCTGTGTGGTGCCATGACTGGTGGTCTGTGTGGTGCCCTGATTGGTGGTCTGTGTGGTGCACTGACTGGTGGCCTGTGTGGTGCACTGACTGGTGGCCTGTGTGGTTCACTGACTGGTGGCCTGTGTGACGCACTGACTGGGTGTAGTCTTGACATGTCTGAATGATTTGATCTGTTATCTCTTGATGTGGTTTGTGGTTCTGCCCTGACTGGTTCCTCTGTGTGGTGCACTGATCCTGTGGGGGCTAGTTACATTTTGGATTCATAGTGGACATATTGCAGCCTGTATAAGTTCCAAAATATAAGTTCCCATTGTGTGGTGTATTGAACCTATCGTGCTAGTCTGGTAGTCTGTGTGGTGCAGGAAACTCTGGGGGACGTGTGGAGCATCATGTCAGCCGCCTTTACTTCCCTAGGAAATTTTATTTCCTTTTTTATGCTGGGATGGTGGAAGCCCAGATAAATTTGAAAAGTATGCTGGGGCTACGGCATTGACTAATCCATCTGTCTGGTACAGTAATTTAAATATTCTGTCTGGGTGCACTGATTTATATTTTTCTTAGTCTGTGAAAGCTGGGTTTCTGCTCAGGGGTTAGAAGTCTGTTGAGACCAGTGCACTGACTGTTTTCTCCAGCTCAGGGGTGCCTAATTTGGTGAGTCAGTGAACCCTTTTTGTCCAGCTCAATGATTCCTGATTTGTTGAGACCAGTGAACCCTTTGTGGTTTCCAGCTCAGGGGTTCCTAATTTGTTCACTTCTTTCCTCATATTGTCATTTCTGATCGTGTCTTTTCTAGTTACATTTTGGATTCATAGTGGACATATTGCAGCAAATATATAAGTTCCAAAATATAAGTTCCCATTGCCATACATTGATGTATTGAACCTATCGTGCTAGTCTCATAGTTTGTCTTGACCAGGAACTCTTGGGTGACGTATTTAGTATCATGTCAGCCGCCTTTACTTCCCTAGGAAATTTTATTTCCTTTTTTATGCTGGGATGGCATGGAAGCCCAGGTAAATTTGAAAAGTATGCTAGCTACGGCATTGTCAGGGTTTCCCATCTTTCTGTTACAGTAATTTAAATATTCTTTCTATTATGCTAATTTAATATTTTTCTTATTCTGTGAAAGCTGGTTGTTTCTCCAGCTCAGGGGTTCCCAATTTGTTGAGACCAGTGAACCCTTTTTGTTTCTCCAGCTCAGGGGTTCCTAGTTTGTTGAGACCAGTGAACCCTTTTTGTTTCTCCATCTCAGGGGTTCCCAGTTTGTTGAGACCAGTGAACCCTTTTTGTTTCTCCAGCTCAGGGGTTCCCAGTTTGTTGAGACCAGTGAACCCTCTTTGTTTCTCCAGCTCAGGGGTTCCCAGTTTGTTGAGACCAGTGAACCCTCTTTGTTTCTCCAGCTCAGGGGTTCCCAGTTTTTTGAGACCAGTGAACCCTCTTTGTTTCTCCAGCTCAGGGGTTCCCTGTTTGTTTAGACCAATGAACCCGCCTTTTTTTGTAAGGTCTGCCACTGACACCATGTGTAAATTTGTAAAATATCACAGAAGTTAGGTTTAGTGTATGTGTATGTGTGATATCATGAACGCTTTAATTTTTTCCTCGCAGCACTAACTGGAAAAGATGCATATAATTTGCATTTGTTTGTTTATAGTCGATTCAGTTCTTTATGTTTTCTGCTCATAGTTGATTGTTTGGTCATATCATGAGAAGGAGAAAACTGGAGTGCATCAAGCTGGTGGGGAAATTGTAGGGTAAAAGAGACCGAGGGAGACCAAGAGAGAAGATGTTGGATGGTTTGACATTATGGCCTGGAAGATCATATGTGTTGGAATTGATTGAAAATACATGAGACAGGTTTTGGATAAACACGACTACAAACCCCACATGGCATGGACTTTAAAAAGAAGAAGTTGATTGTTTTCTTTTGTCTTGATTGTTTGTATCTTTCTGTAAATTGATTGTTTTCAGATTTATTCCATACATTGTGAAAAGAAAAAGAAGATGAAGAAGAAGAGGATAGCATGATTAAAGCGGAACATATGATTATATTAAAGAAAAATATAATAATCTTGCAAAATAAAACTGAACCAAAATCTATTTCAGAGATTTGGCTGTGCCCTAGTTAAAACAGGTCAGCTAAATTTGAAAAGTAAAACCTTTGCTAAAGATTTCCGGCCGATTGACAGCGAGTGCCATTGTTCTACATGTCAGACATACACGAGAGCATACCTTCATACGTTAGCCAATACGGAGCCTGCGGCTTGTAACATTATCACTGTACACAACGTGGCATATCAGGTGTGTAATTAGTTCTTTCTTGATCACGTGTATATTTTATTTCTGTTTTTATTTAATCGTTCTAGTAACAACAACATGGTCCGTGTGGGGGGTGTGTGTATGGGTAGGGTTGTGTGTGTGTGGAGGGGGGGGGGGGGGTTGGGTGGTTGGTGGGGATCAGAACAAGAAGAATGTTGATAACAGAGAAAATGATTGTAGTTAGGTAAGTTCTGAGAAAATGATTGTAGTTAGGTAAGTTCTGAGAAAATGATTGTAGTTAGGTAAGTTCTAAGAAAATGCACGTGCTATTGTAACAGTGATCCTGAAATGCCATGCTGTAATTGTGGAAGGTGGGTCTTGCTAGTCACACTCGCCATCACCGTGGGCTGTGTTCTTCTGCCTCCCTAACAGCACAGTTGTAAGACTGTCCTCTGGAAAGATGCCAACCAAACAGAAAAACCAGAAACCTAATATTACATTTGTCTTCATCAATCATCCAAGTGATGTAATTACGTTGTGCATATTTACCATGTAGCAGCAATATTTGTGCCTTTTGGACTACACATTTGACTTTATTTGGCATCTTTTTCCTGGATTAACCTTCCTGGTAAAACTCGATTCCATTATCATCGAGTGCCTTGTTGACTGGCTTGGAGGATTAAGCTAGAATTCACATCTAACCACTAAAATAGCTCCCTGTATCGTCATGGTACGGCTCCCAGTCTGTTCCTTTATTCCTGAAGGATAACCCAGAAAAATACCTGCAGAAGTCGGATATATCAGGCAAAAGGTGCAAATATTGAAGCCATGTTGTAAATAGGCACAAAGTACCTACATCTTTGAATGAATCAGAAGAAGAAGAAGATGATTTCCTTCCAGGCAGTTCTTTCATGTGCATTGATCTCAGTATCGTGGATGGAATCTAGTCTAGCACTTTAAGCCTGTCTCATCAGCACTATCTATATGCCTGTTTGGTGTCACCTGGACTACTCTACCATGGTGTACCCTGCAGTCCTGCGTGGGTAAGGAGAGCCATAGATTTCATGAACACATTAGCTAAACAGCAAGTACACGTCATCTTTTTCTTCTCTAGTCCTGTTTTGCCCTTCAGCAGCAGGTTTTGAAGGGGCATATGGGTGGGAGCCTTGGTGTGTGCTAGGTATATGCTGGTATCTACAGCCTAGGGTATTCCATCTATCCAGTGTTACGTGGTTGACCTCTGGTTCTGCTTCCATTATGTCTGACAGTTTTCTCTGCCAACTCTTGGTAGTCTTGGCACATGCCTGAACCATTTGATCTGTTGTCTGTTGATGCAGTTTATTACTGGCTGTGTTCCAACCTCTTTGCTGATATCATTTCTGATCCTGTCTCTTCCAATTACATTTAGGATTTGTGGTAGACATTTTATTTCTGTTGTTTTGATTTTTCTTTCTTTTTTGTTGTTGTTACTGTCCACATTTAGCCCTGTTAACACGTTCTTGGTAAAAATACTGTACTAAGTAGTGCTCTATTAATGACACTTGTTACCTGTTTGTTCTGCAAAATTGGTGACACCTGTAGAATAATTTGTTCTGCTTTATTACATCTGCCTTCTGTCTTTGCTTACATATTTCCACTGGATGATATTATGCTAAGTGAGAAAATGGAAGCAAAGGCAGCACGCATATGTAGGAAGCATGAGCACCGTAGTAGATTTCTTGAATGTAACAGCCAAACAACGGGAATCTGCAACCATGATCAGACTGCAAGAACAGCAAGTTCAGAGGGGTGTAGCCAGACAAGAGCACTGTGCGGGAAGCCAAAAAATAATAGTAAACTAACACAGAACTGCATCTTTGCATCAAAGATGCAAACAGCTGGGATTAGAGAGTGAGAAGCAACAACAAAATTCATAAATCTGTTTAAATCACTATTGATAACTGGCATCATGAGAGCTAACAGACTGAGTTGGCTGGGGCATATTGAGAGAATGTCAGATGACAGAGAAGTGAAAACTGTATACACAACGGAGATGAAGGGTCGTAGACAATGAGGCAGACCAAAAAGACAATAGAAAGATAATGTCCAGACAGACCTGCAAACCCTTGGTGTCACCAACTGGAGGGAGAAGGCCAACCAGAGAGATGAATGAGGGTGGGTGATATCTGCAGCAGTGAACCTCGAGGGCTCGGAATGCTGAAGAAGAAGAACACATAACTGGTATTGTCAGCCGCTGCTGAATTTACGTGGAGGTGGGGGGGGGGGGGGGTTGGGGGGGTGCAAATGCACTCATGGACTAAATGCTTCAGTGTGCAGTGAGGATAAGCTGTTGACTAACTACTAATTAACTTTCATATTGTAGAGCTTCATCTGGTGTTTTCCAAGCATTTAAGTAAAGAGAATACTATCCGTGTTTTTATTAGAGGAAAAAATCTAATGTGTAACGGTTGAATTTAACCTGGTATATTAATCTTTCAACTATCTACAGCTGGAGCTGATGAGGTCCATGCATCAGAGCATCCTTCAGGATAAGTTCCCAAATTTTGTGCAGCAATTCTTTTTAACCCTGTTTCCACAGAAGGGCTACCCAAACTGGGCAGTAGAAGCTTTAGCCAGTGTCAACATTCATTTACTTTAGCTAGAAAATCATTAAAAATCTGGACAGTTGCAGCAAGAAGGTTTTAGTAAAGTGGATATTTTTTATGGTGTAAAATAAAATGCCTTGCTTTTATATGTCATTTTATTTTGTTGTTCTCATTTAGTGCCTTCTTCTTCTTTCTGTTTCTTTCTTTTTTCTTCTTCTTCTTCTGCATTAGTCCTCAAAAAGATGATTGGCGCGATAGTTTGTGGTTTACAGCTAGGCTGCAATAGCTGCATCTTTCGGTGTAACACACCAGATTTCAGCATTCCTGTAGTTGCATTTGATGACATGCTTTTTAGGGAGGCTGTGTGTTCTTATTTTCCTCAGATGAAGAGCACTAAGGAAGTACTTTGCTTTGTTTCATGGCACTATTTTAAATACCGGTTAGCTGGAGGCCTTTTAGAGTACAGGTAAAAGACCCAATTCCACGCCTTTAGGTGTGCTGGGCATATAGGGCTAGACCTAGTTGGCACTCATTGGATGATGTGGTCAACATCCCTAGGACTCTACCTATTACCCATTTAAGGGAATGAGCCAAGATCATTTTTTATGTTTAAATCTGGCTCCATCAGGACTTGGGCCCACAGCCTTTGGATCCACAGGCGGGTTACACCCAGTGTTGCCACTTTAAATGTCTTACATCCAGATTTAGATGTTTTTCCTTGCATTTAGATGGCGTTTTGACATTTAAATGGTAGATGTTTTTCTGGATGTTTTTCATTTGAAGTGAATTTATAAAATCTAACCTAAGAAACAGGATGAAATGTGACCTCTTAAATGCTATCTTGACAATAAAATTTGGCCTGAAAGAGTTGGAAAAGGCTGTTTCACTTATCAGCTCCCTGATTGGGTAATAAAAGAAATTGGAACAGCTTAAGCATAACAGAGTCATTTTGGATCTGAAACTTCAACTTTATCATCCAAGCTAAGTTTATCCTGTGGATCTTGTAAGGCAGACTTCAGTAAAGATAAGGACATGATTATATAGGGTAAGTCATATCAATTGCTATGTTATTTGTCACTCTTTCCATTTGGATATTTTTTTCTAGATGTTTTCCACGCAAATTTAGATGTTTTACTCTGTTTTGGATGTTTTTTTTGTCAAAGAAAAGCTGGTTACACCACAGCAGCTTCCTATAAAGTTTCAAAAATATTGTCAAATGTTGTAAGTGGCATTGTTGATGAAATTTTATCATAGGACGCTGGTAGGTGTCTGGACACTTGTGCACAAACTCGGTAGCATGGTGGTTCCCAAACCGGTATTGATCTCGGCCGCTGCGGTGAGAGCACAGAATCTTAGACAGGCTGGTTACACAGACAATGGATTGAGTCATTGCTAAACTCTTCTGTGTGTGCAGTTACCTTCATATTTGTTCAAGGGTATGCTGGTGTTGATGAAAATGAAAAAGCTGACAGACTGGTAGGTTCCACATTAACTGCAGATGGCCGTCCTATAGATCACTGACATTGTCAATTCCCTTAGAGAGATAGGATGTTCCGAGGATGTTCCACATCCCTGCTAAGATTACGAGAATTGGGAGTAAAAATCAGCACTGGCAAGCATGAGAAGCACACCGAATTCTCACAAAGTCTTGTCAACTGGCACAGAACTGGCACTAATAACCACACTGCTCTGATAAAAATGTTAAAGGGAGAATCTGAGCACCTGTGGATGTGTCCTGAGTGCTGTGAAGAGAATCCAACTCATAAATCATCACTCATAACTCAGTATTGTGTATTGTTCCCACACTTTAATTTAGTAAGTTATTCAGAAAGAGAACATTTGGGTGTTTCTTCTTAGCATTCACTAGGTGTAAACTCCAGCAGAAAGTTCTGATAGTTTTTCCTTCATTTCTGGAGTTTGGCTTTGTCGTAGTACAATACTAAAGTCCATTAGCTGCCGAAAAACCAGAATTTTCTGCTGGAGTTTACAGCCAGTAAACAAGAAGAAGAAGAAAAAGAAGCAGAAGAAGAGGTAGTAGTAGTAAAGTGAAAAAGGCTTTGCATGCCTTTGGCATGTTGGGCATTGAATGCTAGACTTGTATGTTTTATAGACCTGTCAGTACTTGGTGGTTGATTATGTGGGCCGCCTTTACTTCTCGGGACAGTACCTGTCATCTCTTTTAGGCTTGGATAACATTGGAGCCTATGTCAGTTTTGAACATATCCCATTTGATGCGGAAATTGCCACCCGAGTTTCCTACTGATGAACTCTAAGAAGGAGAAGGGTATTTGTGAATTCTCACAAGGTAAACAGATCACGGATGTTTTAAATTCTCACGAGATAACCACTAGATCTGCTAGTTCCATTCTCCTGGGGTGAAGAGTTGAGCTCTACAATGTTTCCAGTTCTCCTGGGTTTAAGTGTAAATCTACATTGTTTTCTGTAAAAAACCGGAAATTGTCAACTCCTGACAGAGCACAAATTCATTTTTTACATCTGATCCACATTTTCTTGGCTGTACACACATCCCTCTGTTTCTCTTACGCTCCTGACATTGCTGCTGGCAAATTTTGGCTGGTCGCCAGGCTGAGGTTAACAGGAAGGAGGTCGAGTACGGGTCACAACAGTTAATTATGCGACATCCAAGCTGCAATATTCCATTCCCAAGAAGATTTTTCTGAAATAGCAGAATTGACAAAAGACACGTATACAGGCCCAATGCCTTCTCCAGATTAATACATATAGGTGCTGACGTCAACACCCTGATCTAACTATACGTTCCATGTTCCCTCTGACAGTCCCGTTTTTTGGGTGTGTTCCGGCCATCCCCCGAGTACTCCCCACACAAATTCTAGGAATAAACTAGAGAATAAAACATTTACATACACATATACAAACTAAAAGAGAACCCTAGAGAAAAAGATTTTAATATTAATCAATTAGTATGGCTTATACAGTTGATAGGCTTATATAATCTTTATAATCTCATTTTTTTATAATGTATTAGGGGAGGCGGGGACTGACTTTCTTAGGATGTCCAATTTTCAGCTCAGAATAGTGTGGGGGAGAGAAAAAAGAACAGCATAGAAACATAAACTACTTACATTTCAGCTGGTAAATGTCAAATATGCATCCACATAATCAACTGAAAATTAGTGAATGAACTTAGCCAGCACATTTCTCTTGTCCAACCAGTATATAAGCAATATTATCCTTTTCCACCCAGAATATTAGCACTATTCTTCTTGCCCAACCAGTATTTTGTAATATCCACCCAATTCTTTTCGGCGAGTGCTCTAATTTTATTCTCCAATATGCCTTTATTTATTTTACCCTGTGGGTGACAGTTCAAATACAGTTAATCAGCATGTCCTGCACAGAACAACTCTCTCTTCACAATATGCACACAAGTCACTTTTCATCAAGTCAGTTGCCCGGCTCTCTGGCGAAGTTGGTTAAACCTGACTTTCGCGGCGGCCGGGTGACGAACTCCTTGTGGTCCGGGTTCACTCCCGGGGGTAGGCAGAAAAGCCACATTTCTCCCAGATTACCGGTACCTATAATGGAATCAATGCCGAAGGGTTGCGATATCCATAGTACCGAGCCAGGGTTTACAACTCATGGTTTCTGGATACGTAAAAAAAAAAAATCTAGTCAGTTCTCCAGCCCTGTGTGCTTTCATAATCAGTGCATCTTCAATTTCTTGTATCCTCTTTCCCGGAGGTTGGCCTTTGCCTCGTTTCCCAGAAACTGTATCCTCCATCACCGTTCTCTCCCCATGTCAGAATTATTATTTTTGTCGGGACAGGATGTTGACCATGAGCTAGTTCTCCTTGATGTTCAGGTCAGTTAGGATGTCAACGTTTTTCTTCTTCTTGGTCCAAGGCATTCTAAGAACATTTCTACAGCATTTCAGTTCATCTAAACGTCGAGGAGACTTGGCTCATCAACAACATCTGGTTCCAAAAGCTGACGTATTTCCACCAGCCGGTGAATGCGTAGAAGATAGTGATGATGATGAACGTCTACCGTTTAGAAATCAATGGCAAACTACTAAAATATTCATAGTAGTGTAACACAAATACTAGGGTTGACTTACAACGTCTTGTAAATAACAGGCAACTAATTTTGTGTGTGTGTGAGACAGTTCTGTCTCGTGTCATCACATTAGGAAGGAATTGTAGACTGTGGTGTGATGATATGGCAGATTTAGAGGTACAATAACTGACGGGTGGAAATGACGGGTTAGATGACGCGACAATGTACACTGGTTGCCCCTTTTACCCGAGGGCCCGGCCCACCCCTCTTACTCCAAAAACGTCAATTTTCCGTTTTATAAAAAAACTTTATTCTCGGAATGGACTACACTTATATCTTATACTCCCTAAGGTTTTCCCTAGTCCCTAAAACTAAAAAAAATTTGGGGTCGGGGGGGGGGGGGGGGGGGGGGGAAAGGGTTTCTTGCTTGGGGTGCCCTCTTTTCAGTTCAAAATATTCACCCTTACCATTTATGAACAAATAAATGCCTAGTTTATTAAGATCATCATCATCATCATAAACCACTTCTGCCGTTAAGCGTCGTGGGGAATTTTTTGGCGCTAAAATTGCCCGTTGGCGGCAATGGCTTTTGTCATCCCGTGAAGGGTAGAGTGTCTTTAAATTTTGTCGATCCATTTTTTCCGCGGTCGCCCCCTCTTGCTCTTTTTTTTTGGGCCCTTCCCTGAGTGAATTGCTTGTGTTTGGTATTTGATCTTGCTGCATTCTAACGAAAGGGCCCAAAACCACTTGATCTGCTTTTTTCTCGAGGGAATTTCTAGTAAAAGGTGCTTTTCCACAATTTTGCCTGTATTTTTATTATTCACTCAATCTCGTATGGTTGGGTTTTGGCTATTTTTCCCCAGGCACTTATCTCACGGTGGTGTTTTTTGCGTGTATGGGCTTTGGGATATTTGTCCTTTTTTTGGGAAACGGGTATTTTAAATGTTGGAATATATCTATTAAAATTTTCCCTTTTTTGCACTCATAGTTATCTTGGATGTCTTAAAAAGGGTTT